CTGTTGTAAATAATAAACAGTTTTGTTGAACAAAATCATTAATCTCCCCACAGACCCCTTTGAAAGTCGTCTTTACCAGGTCTTTTCCAAGGATGTCTCCGACAGAGTCTTAACACCAAACCAAACTTTCTCCGATACTCGATTGTAAATCAAAACAAGTTTGTAAATTATTTCAAACGCCTGTATAAGGAAAATTCCGAACATTTTATTGTTTTCATAAATAAATTCTTAAAACTAATAAAAGAGTTCTCTGAAAATAGTTTCCGAAAATTAAGTCCCAAAAAAATAAAAATATACGCTCCAGGAATATAAAATCTAGGACTTTATTTACCGTGACCCTTTGACTTGGGTCCTGGGACTTCAGTAAGTTGGGACTCTTTTACCTAACTTTTTATTCTAATATTTTGATCAAGAAACTTTTTTTCCTGTGTTTTTCTTTTATGGATTCTCCTTATGTAGTCGGCGATTATAGGATGATGTTTTTCTCTGAGAGTAGGATTGGGGTGGGGTGGGTAAATAACAAGCTTAGACCGGTTTCTTAGTCAAACTACCAATGCCATAATACACAGGATGCGACTTTTTTTTACAATTTATTTTTAAATTAAATTTTTCTATGTCTTCTAAGGATAAATTATTTGATCTGCCAAAGAAATAAACCGATTTCCATACATATAGAAAACCGTGAATATAAATAAAATACTTGCCAAATCTTTTACAGTCGTCTCGTCTCTGAAGTCTCTTCCGTTGAAGGTAACCTTTTATTATATTCAATTAACAATAAGAAATTAATTTCATGCAATACAATATAGTGAAAACTCTGAAATAGAGTGGAGACTCCATTACAGAAAGGAGTGACCAGAGTCTACTAATAATTAGTTTCATCAAAGACCTTCCGTCCCAAGAGAAGACACCGTTTTTGCGCATTTTCGATAAATTTACAAACAAAACTAATTTTTATGCTTCGTGACATTTTTCCGTGAACTTGATCATCATCATTCTTTTTTAAAGGGCATCTTTAGTTGAAGTTTTAGCTCACCAACTCAATCACAATTTTTTGTAGCCTTGGACATGTGAATTTTAAATCTAAGACTGCAATGGGCTTGTTTCTATTGCATCAGTTGGAAAATTCCTGATACATTTTTGAGAAAGAGCATAAATATTTTGGTTGCAGGGACACAATTAATTATAGTCTTTGGTGTTCTTTAAACAACGATATACTTTGATAAATAGATTAATAGAAGGATAGAAATCTAGATATCTATCTATCTATTTATATACCCAATGCTAGAAGATCTAAGATGCATATCCAACAATCTATTAATTTATGAAGAAGCTAGATATTTATATTTGCTTCTATCTATCTATCTATCTGTCTATCTATCTATCTATCCATCTATCTATCTTTCTATCTATCTTTCTATCTATCTATCTACCTACCTTCATCTATCTATCCTTCTATCTATTTCTATCTTTCTATCTATATATCTATCTATCTATCTATCTATCTATCTATCTATCTATATATACCTGGATAGGGTTCAGATTTCCTGTAGAGGGATATGAGAGGTACTCCTAGAGCTAGCACTGGCAGATATAGAAGAAAACACCTAGATAGATAGATAGATTGTTAGATTAATAGATAGAGAGATAGATTGTTAGATTAATAGATAGATAAATAGATAGGCATATAGATATAGAAAGATAGATAGAAAGACGATTAGAGAGGTACTCCTAGAGCTAGCACTGGAATATAGAGAAGAATACACCTAGATAGATTAGAAATCAAAAATTGCAATCGAAAAACGTCTTCATTGTATTGATATATACAACCACGACTGTATTATACAGATTTATAGATTGGTTACAAAATATTTAATTATCAACTTTTTAATTATTAAATATCTATATTAGGAGAGTTCTCGGTTTAATCAGACATCTATGAGGGTTGCGATCACAAATTTGATTGATCAGGCCAACAGGTATTATATTGGGATATATATTATAAACCTTTTTTCACAAGAATTAAATCATAAAAATTTGCTTAGAAATTTGCAGCATAGTTCTGCAAGATTGATACNGTTCAACGGAATCTCAAGATTATCATAATCTTTATCTTTCAGATCTTAAGGAAATCGTTCTAAAAGAAATCTTTATATTTCAGATTTTAGATTTAGAGGAAATCTTTATATTTATCAGATCGCAAGAAAATCTTTATCTTTCAGCTCTCAAGAAAATCGTTATCCTTTAAATCTCAAATTTCAAGGAAATCTTAATCTTTATTTCCAATCTATGGATAGAACTTATCATCTTTATAATAATAATCTCTGTATGTATAGAACCTATAATCTTTAAATTTCTAATCTTTGGATAGAACCTTTATTTTTTATATTTCTTATCTATGGAGAATCTAAATCTGAATGAATTTGCAGTTTCTGGTTTTATTAACCTGAAAACTAGGGTAACACAGTTTTTCTACAATAAATCAAGTTTTGATGTTTATTAACAGTTTTCTAGACTACATACAATAGGTTCTTATAAATGATGCATTTTTACATTTTTGAAAAGGCTTGGTCAAGAGCAGGCCCTTCCAGTTGCCGAATTTAAAGAATTTGAGCGGCGGTTTAAATTTAAGCCGCGGTTTAAATATGGTTGGTTCCACTTAAAATTGTAACAAAAGATTTAAGCCGGCGCTCAATTTAAACCGGGGTTTGGCGGATTTAAACCGCGGCTCAAATTCTTTAAATTCCATCTCAGGTCATTTATATTCGTTGATTTTATCCGATTCAACTTTTTTACTTCTTACTGTAATTTGTAATTTCAGGTGATCCTGTCCGATTTTCACCTTAAGGGAACATTGATAGGGAGATATTCTTTATTTTCAAACGGAAAACTAATCATTTTTAATCGTGGATTCTTAATATCAATCTTGCAGAACTATGCTGCAAATTTCTAAGCAAATTTTTATGATTTAATTCTTGTGAAAAAAGGTTTATAATATATATCCCAATATAATACCTGTTGGCCTGATCAATCAAATTTGTGATCGCAACCCTCATAGATGTCTGATTAAACCGAGAACTCTCCTAATATAGATATTTAATAATTAAAAAGTTGATAATTAAATATTTTGTATAAATAATATAGTTGGATATAAAAAAAGTTATCACAATTAATTTCATATCAAGCCAAAATAATTGAACAAACGAATAAATGAATTAATTAATCCATGAATAAATAAATAGATGAATCGATGAATAAATGAATGAATCAATCAATGAAAGGAAGGATGGATGAAAGGATGAATGAATGAATGAATAAATGAATAAAATGAATAAAATGAATAAATGAATAAATGAATGAATGAATAAATGAATAAATGAATAAATGAATAAATAGATAAATGAATAAATAAATAAATGAATGAATGAATAAACCTGCAGTGTGATGACACTACTCTTAAGATGTCTAAGAGTAACCTTCATGTCTGCAACTACCTTATTCATACCTTCCAACCATAGTGCCTGTAAACAGAATACAGATAGTTAGATGGATATATATATCAGATAGATAGATATACAGAATACAGATAGATAGATAGATATATCAGATAGAAAAATTGATATGCTAGATAGTCAGATAGGTAGATGGATTAGATAAGGAGGACAGACAGACAGACCGAAATACGAAGAAACTTTTTTAGTGCAAGAGATATAAATATGTGGAATAATTTTCCATACGAAATCATAAGTGCTGGAAACCTGAACATTTTCAAAAACAAGTTCGATAACTGGCCGAACTACTGAAAGGCCAATGAAGTTAGAAAAGAGGTTTTATATGATCACACCTGTGATATATAAACATTAACACACCAATTAAACCAATTAAACCAATTAAACCAATTAAACCAATTAAACCAATTGAACCAAATAAACCAAATAAACCAATTAAACCAATTAAACCAATTAAACCAAGTAAACCAATTAAACCAATTAAACCAATTTAACCAATTAAACCAATTAAACCAATTAAACCAATTAAACCAAGTAAACCAATTAAACCAATTAAACCAATTAAACCAATTAAACCAATTTAACCAATTAAACCAATTAAATCAATTAAACCAATTAAACCAATTAAACCAATTAAACCAATTAAACCAAGTAAGCCAATCAAACCAATCAAACCAATTAAACCATTTTGTTCATTGATCTCCTCAGATACAATGGCATCAAAATTCATCTTTCTCTACAGGGTTGCCCACAAAAGATGAGATTATAAAGACGACCCAAAGTTTAAACTAATTATGCTGCCCTGAATATAGTCTCACAATGGCGTATTTGATGATTTGTAAAAAAAGAAAGAGGGAATAAATTCCGTAGAGCCGTCTCTATAGTCTCATCCTTAATCAGCAACCCTGTAGGTTTAGATATTAAATTTGATAATATTACTTCTGCCGTTTTCTTGCTATCTATGTAAAGCTGAAAATCGTTTTTACCTTTTTTTAAGAGTTCTAACCGGGAAAGAAAAAAAAACTTGAATTATAGTAAACAATTATATTTCAAATTTATGAACGGTCAAAATTGGAAACTAAATTACATGGAATTATTCAAAAACAAATAATATATATATATAATCACTTTCACTAATATTAATCTTATTAAATAGTGTACAGAATTGGTCAGAACAAAATAGTAAAAAGACGACATTTATCATTTCGGCCTTTCGGCTTTTAATGCTAGTGAAGGAATTAAGCAATTTTGGTTTGTTTTTAAAAGAAAATATCCATCATTTACTCAATCAAATTCTGACATTTATAAACTCGCAATTTGAGAAAAACGAAGAAATGCGCCAAACTACACTGTGTACACTGTACACATTGTGTACACTGTTAGTCTACACTGTTGCAGTTTCTCCGCGAACAAGGGTACAACGGGTACAATCAATTTACTAAATTCTAGAACATTAAGAATTTAAGAATCAATCTTTCAACAAATTTTCAAATTTTTCTAGGTTTTTTCTTCTAATAAAGACGACAAACATTTTGATTTTAATTTCTGAGCCAGAGAGAAAAATTTTGAGATTCTTAAAGGGTGTAAATGCAATAATGAATCTTAAGTTTATCAAAAATTGTTCTTAATTAAGTTTCCAAAAATGTATAATCATAACATTAATATCTAATAATTTTCCTAGCTACAAAATCAGAATTATGTCACAAAAATCAGACTATAAATTAAAAAAAGCTTAACTAATACAAAATGTTGTGGAAGATCTATTTTCAAAGAAAAAGGGGCCATTATCCATGCAAGGTGTTCCTCCCTGGAAACGGTTTATTTTCTATGAATGGTTTATTATTACAGAAAATAATTTCATTCCTGGAAAAAACCTCCAAATAATGACCCTTGTATCGATGAGAGGTATATTTAAAATGAATACTTAATCTATCAGCAAAATGTCTTCAATATTTTAATCAATAAAGCAAATAAAAAATATTTTTGGTCTCCAGAATTGTCTTGAAAATGAAACTACAAAATATTTGTAATAATTTATGCTCGCTTGTTGATTCAGTATTTGATTTTTGATTCAGAGGATTAAAAATAAGATCAACTTGGAAACTTAAAAAATTAGTTTGAAACTGGGAGAATTCGACTAAAAAGAAGGGATTTACACTGTACAGGGTGTTCCACAAAACATGACAGTTGAAAAACGACAAAGATAGTCTTTGATGGCTATTAATACAAAGTTTTTTCTGGCTACCACTGATCAAAGACGATCCTTGGTCGTCTCTCCGGTGTCATGTTTATTAGGACACCCTGTATATATAACAGTAGTGGCAAGCAATGTTTCAAGTTTCACAGATTAAAAATCTACAGCTGAGACATTTCAAAATACGATCTATGCATCTTTCCGACAATATAAATTTTTCTAATAATAAGTTTTTTAATGGGCAGTAGGTCGGATGATTCACCATTAAAGTGGTAAAATTAGGTAAGACTCGTTAAGGTTCGCTATACCGAACTTATCGAAAACATTTCGGAACATTTTATATTTAACAATCTGAATTTTAAAAGTTGTGAAATATTTGTAATATTCTGTTCATAAGTTTTGAACAAAGTGTTCGCAATTTCAAAATGTTTTCTGCTCTTCGGTATTTCGATCAAAATGTTAGTATATTACGATATAAGGATTTCTATTGACAGTGTTGTAATCTGGAGACAGGATAGATAGGATAGCCAACCACTAGGCAGAAAGTTCCGCGGTGCATCCAAATAGTACAATTCTAAGTACAACAGTACAAATATTAACTAAGTAAAATTTATGTAGACAAAATCTGAGTACTTTCAAAAACTATATTAGGTTAAAAGATAATTCAAAACTGGGTAATATAGGAAGTAGTACTTCAATAGGAGTACTTGAATCTAAGCAGATTGGAAGGAGTACAAAGCAGGAGTACTCTAAGCTAGGTAGGAGTACTTCAATAGGAGTACTTTAAGCAAGTTTGGAAGAAGTACTTCAATACGAGTACACATATTTCAATAAGTAAAGAGTAAGACGACGCCTCCGGTCAAAGGACTCGAGGCGGAGGACTTCAGGCGGAGGATTTACTCCGGAGGTCCCGGATAGTAATAGGGAGGCGGACGCTCATACTCTCCGCCAGCTCCAGGTACTGGACCAGGCAGTGACGGGTTACTTGTATAGCGCGGCGGAGACACTTCCTCCGCCCCGTAATTCCTGGGAGCTATATCTCTGTACCTTAATTGTGAAGATATTAAATACAGAAAAAAAATTAAGGGAAAATTTTATTAAAATTATCACAGATAGGTAGAAGGTATATAATTAAGGGAAAATTTTATTAAAATTATCACAGATAGGTAGAAGGTATATAATTTAGGGTGACCCAAAATTCCATTAGAAAAAAAATTAGCAGCCAGGCTCAAATGGTTCCATACACATAAAAGTGTTCCTAAAAAAAATTCAGAAGTCTAGGAAGCAATTAAAAAAATTTAAAATTAAAAAAATTTCGAATTAGACCTCTTAGCTTTGAACTGCTACCTGAGCAATGCACTATTTACCTCATTCCCCTTAGCTATGAACTATCCACCTAATCGACCCCTTAGATATGAACTTTTTACCTGATTGACCCCTATTTATAAACTATCTGATTGACCCACCCTAGCTATATACTGCTTCATGATTTACCCCCTAGCTTTGAACTATATACCAGATTGACTCTCAAATAACTCTCTAAAATTAGACCTTCCAAACAGATGAATAATGTATAATAATGCATGTTTAAAGCAATCTTGGATGCATAAATATTACACAGTTGTTAGTGCAGAAGGAGCTATTGAGAAGATCAAATAGTTTAGTGAACATGAGTTGGAGATTACAAACCTTAAGGTCTTTGCTACATCCTTCCTTAAGTCAATTAAGGCAGATCATGCAGTTCTCAACGATTTCAATGCCTACGATGCTGCTGAAATATTGAAAGAAGAATGGGATTATGATGTTGATTTTAGTTTGAGAAGAAGTTTGGAAAACCACTACCCTGATTTATTCCTACCTGGCGTCCGAGTATTGGTTCTGCGGCGGAGTAGGTCGTGAATGAGTATACTCCGGGAGGAAGGCGGACGGATTCCGCCTGTGCCCTTTCTTACGATTCTTATTCTCCGCCCCGCTACCCAATTCCAGGGGCTGGGACTCCACCAGGGGACCTGGTAACAGAGCTCATGAGTTTACAATGCGACCCATTAAACTTTGATGGAATTTCATAAATCTTTGATAGAATTTTCATTCTCAAAACTTTGATAGAATCTCATAAAACTTTGATAGCATCTCATAAAACTTTGATAACATCTCATAAAACTTTGATAGCAACTAATAAAACTTTGATAGAATCTAATAAAATTTTGAAATAATCTAATAAAATTTTGATAGCATCTCATAAAAATTTGATAGCAACTAATAAAACTTTGTTAAATCTAAAATTTTTGATAGAATCTAATAAAATTTTGATAGAATAATGTAAAACTTTGTTAAATCTAACAAAACTTAGAAAGAATCTAATAAAACTTTGACAGAATCTTGTAAAACTTTGATCGAATCTAATAAAACTTTTGATAGAATCTTGTAATACTTTGAAAGAATCTAATACTTCTTTGACAGAACATTACAAAACTTCGTAAGAATCTAAAAAACTTTGATATCATCTAATAAATCTTTAATAGATTCTTATAAAACTTTGTTAGAATCTAATAAAGCTTTGTTGGAATATATAATGAGAAACAGAAAACTGTGGAACAGGAAGACGACTGCGAGACTTAGTTATGACTTTAAATAGTCCAATGAACACAGAAATTGTGCAGTGTTCATAGACCCATCTTTCTTATTTAGTTAAATTTCAAGCTACTGCTAAATCTATTTGCTTTTTAACAACATCAAAAACATAAGATTGCTAAGATGCATAATTTGATTAATTTTCCTTCCTTAACCATCACATTTCTTTAACTGAAAAAAAGATTAAAAAATAGTTAAAAAAAATAAAAAAAATGGTATTATACCTGGATAGGGTTCAGATTTCCTGTAGAGGGATATGAGAGGTACTCCTAGAGCTAGCACTGGCAGATATAGAAGAAAACACCTAGATAGATGGATAGATTGTTAGATTAATAGATAGATAAATAGATAGGCATATAGATATAGAAAGATAAATAGAAAGACGATTAGAGAGGTACTCTTAGAGCTAGCACTGGTAGATAGAGAAGCATACACCTAGATAGATTAGAAATCAAAAATTGCCATCGAAAAACGTCTTCATTGTATTTATATATACGATCACGACTGTATAGCTAAACAGACAGATAAACATATTGATAGAATGTTGGATTGATGTAGATAGGGGAAAACGATTAATAGAAAAATTACAAAAGTAGATATATGTTAAACATTAATAGATAGATATTAAGCTAAATAGATACTGGTCAAAATTGGCCGACAGAAAGAGAGAAGATAATGATAAACTAGAAAATAAAATCTGCGAAATTTTGTTAAAAGAATATCCTACCAGCCAATAGCAGCCCAGAACCCATTGAAGGGATCCACGATCTCGTTGCACAGCCCCACCACGGTAGCGTTGAGACTGGTGGAGAGAGGGGCACAGAACCCAACCTAGACAAATCATTTTATTAGATCTGGGAAATTTTGAATGGACGGAATGAGTTAAACTCATTATTTTGGTACGATGAGGTTTACCCTTCTCTCAGTGCCAAGGTTAAGTTTTGGTTCAGCTGAGGTAATTCAAAACTAGGTTGCAAAAGATTTAGTTTAATCCATTGTAAATAGTTGAACTGCCTCTCACTTATTCACAAATCACCACCCTATAACTGACCAGCCTCCTGTATAGTAACCTGGAAAAGGTACTTGATCTCCAGTGTATTAACGTTTCAGAACGTTTTCCTTGACCTCCTGTTTAGTAACCTGAAGGTGGTATTTGACCTGCACGTGATACTGACCACCTGCTAAGTGACCTGAAGGTGATATTTGACCTGCACATAATACTGACCTCCTTTTTAGTGACCTGAAGGTGGTATTTGACCTGCACGTGATACTGACCTCCTGCTTAGTGACCTAAAGATGATATTAGACCTCCACATGATACTGACCTCCTGTTTAGTGACCTGAAGGTGGTATTTGACCTCCACATTATACTGGCTTCCTGCTTAGGGACCTGAAGGTAGTCCTTGACCTCCTGTTTAGTGACCTGAAGGTGGTCCTTGACCTCCTGTTTATGGACCAGAACGTGGTCCTTGACATCCTGTTTTATGGACCAGAACGTGATACTTGACCTCCTGTTTATTGACCTGAAGGTGGTATTTGACCTCCTGTTTCTCGACCAGACCATGGTCCTTCACATACTATTTCTTAAAGTGACCAGAAGTTGGTATTTGACTTCCTGTTTATTGATCTAGAAATGGTCTTTGACCTTCTGTTTAGCGATCTGATTCTTTTGTTGACCTCCTAAATAGGAACCTCCAAAAAAATACTGACCTCCTGTTTAATCTTAGAATTGACCCTAGTAGCATACTGGTCTATCAGCCCAATTATCTCTCCGGCAAACTGTGTTGTCAGTTCAGTCACTAGTGTTGGGCCTTTCTCCCGCAGGTAACTACTCGCACTAAAACAGAGTTCAATTTATTCAACAGGGGTGTACATTTTCTAGAACCCCTCCCCCTTCAGAGAAATAAGCGCACATTCATATTTTTAAGATTTTCTATGCTGTATTGAGGAAAATAAATAAAATATAAGTTTTTAGGTAAAAAATAACAAAGTATGAAAAAAAAATTTTAGATATCTAATTTTTAATAATCATTCCCCGGGTGGGAGAGGTGGAGGGATGGAGTTATTGTTAAAATTATATACCCCGTGGCCGAATTTAAAGAATTTGAGCGGCGGTTTAAATTTAAGCCGCGGTTTAAATATGGTTGGTTCCACTTAAAATTGTAACAAATGTTTAAATATTTAAGCCGGCGCTTAATTTAAACCGGGTTTTGGTGGATTTAAACCGCGGCTCAAATTCTTTAAATTCCATCTCTGGTCATTTATATTCGTTGATTTTATCCGATTCAACTTTTTTACTTCTTACTGTAATTTGTAATTTCAGGTGATCCTGTCCGATTTTCACCTTAAGAATAAATGAATAAATAAATAAATGAATGAATGAATAAACCTGCAGTGTGATGACACTACTCTTAAGATGTCTAAGAGTAACCTTCATGTCTGCAACTACCTTATTCATACCTTCCAACCATAGTGCCTGTAAACAGAATACAGATAGTTAGATGGATATATATATCAGATAGATAGATATACAGAATACAGATAGATAGATAGATATATCAGATAGAAAAATTGATATGCTAGATAGTCAGATAGGTAGATGGATTAGATAAGGAGGACAGACAGACAGACCGAAATACGAAGAAACTTTTTTAGTGCAAGAGATATAAATATGTGGAATAATTTTCCATACGAAATCATAAGTGCTGGAAACCTGAACATTTTCAAAAACAAGTTCGATAACTGGCCGAACTACTGAAAGGCCAATGAAGTTAGAAAAGAGGTTTTATATGATCACACCTGTGATATATAAACATTAACACACCAATTAAACCAATTAAACCAATTAAACCAATTAAACCAATTAAACCAATTAAACCAATTGAACCAAATAAACCAAATAAACCAATTAAACCAATTAAACCAATTAAACCAAGTAAACCAATTAAACCAATTAAACCAATTTAACCAATTAAACCAATTAAACCAATTAAACCAATTAAACCAAGTAAACCAATTAAACCAATTAAACCAATTAAACCAATTAAACCAATTTAACCAATTAAACCAATTAAATCAATTAAACCAATTAAACCAATTAAACCAATTAAACCAATTAAACCAAGTAAGCCAATCAAACCAATCAAACCAATTAAACCAATTAAACCAATTAAACCAATTAAACCAATTAAACCAATTAAACCAATTAAAAACCAATTAAACCAATTATATAACTAGGTAAGAAAACTAACTAGATATACAGTCTACAGATAAAAAATAAATAAATAAAACAAATTAACAACAAACTGAGAGTTTAGAAACGACCGATGAATGAAAATTACTTGTTCCCTGCAGTTGTTAACTTACTTTGATAAAAATCATCAAATTCTAATTAAAATTAATTTCAAAATCAAAAACATTTGGTTAGAATCAAGATACTTATAGATGGACAGATAGATAGATAGCTTAATGAATAGAGAAATGAATAGATAGATAGATAGATAGATGGATAGATAGATTGATATATACCTGGTTTTCTATCTGAGTGGATAATCTAGTGCTGCCCTCAAACCTCCAAACCTCCTTCAGCTGACGCAGCTTAGAGATGAAACTACGCAGGTCAATCTAGATAGATAGATAGATAGATAGTTAGATAGATTGATAGATGAAAAGATAGATAGAGAGATATAGATAGATGGATAGAGAGCGGACCAATTATTTAAAGTGAGTGGGATCAGGGAACAGGAATATAGGGAAAGGAAATGGCGCTGGTCCGGCAAGAGAAAGCCAGTCGCACTGCTTTGCAGACCAGTACAGTAAACTTACAAACACTCTTGTGGTACAGACACACAACATGACTACAGTCAAGGAAATTGTAGAACAATGTCGTCAATTATAATTACACTTGAATAACGAGTAGTTTATTGTAAACTTTAATCAAATTATATTCTTTGCATAAAAATTTGGCTTTATAGTGTTGACTTAAATATGTAAATAATATATTACATGCATATTAAACTTATTTTTAATTAAACAATTAACAATAAACAAATGTACTCTCCTAGACTGTACAAATACCGAGACTCTTACATACTGTATAAACCTACAATACAAACCTTCGGTACTTTAAACTGACACACACTCTTTAGGTACAGACACACACACATGACGTTTCCGCCCCCTGAGTGGGATGCCTAATTCACAACGGTTCCCTGTAAACCCTTTAATTGATAAGGAATGAAAGAAATATCAATATTCACCCTATGATGTTAAACATGCAAAAAATACAAATCAGTTTCAAAACTGTATGATAAGAATCATTGAGAATGGAGTGGCTGCTGATTTGAGAAAAACTGAAGCTACAGCTGATCTCTAGCAGACCACACATGAAGAAATCAAGATATTCTCAACATTCCTATTTGGAAGATGGAGAATTAATTCTCAAGTATCAAGTAAGTATTTTGTGCTTAAAATTAATTCTTTTCAACTGTGATGTCTCTGCTAAGTGATTTCAACAGCTGAGACAGTATAGAAATTACGATTATTTAAAGTGTTCAAGACAGAGAAAAGCCCATCTAGTAGTTACTCTGAGGCCGAATTTAAAGATGTTTAGATAGATATGGTTGGTTCCACTTAAAATTACATAAAATTTTTCAAGATTTAAGCCGGCGCTCAATTGAAACCGGTTTTTCAGGGTTTTGAGACGCTGCTTTAATTCATCAAATTCGGACTCAGATTGAGGGTTGAAACTTACGACTGTGAATGGAAGTTTAACCAACACAGTTTTTCAGAACTATTTTTAATTAACTGATGTTTGATAATACGAGGGGGAAAATAAAAAAGTTGGTCATCAGATCATCCGATCATCCGATCATCAAATCATCAGATCATCCGATCATCCGATCATCCGATCATCCGATCATCCGATCATCCGATCATCCGATCATCCGATCATCCGATCATCCGATCATCCGATCATCCGATCATCCGATCATCCGATCATCCGATCATCCGATCATCAGATCATCAGATCATCAGATCATCAGATCATCAGATCATCAGATCATCAGATCATCAGATCATCAGATCATCAGATCATCAGATCATCAGATCATCAGATCATCAGATCATCAGATGGCAAATTTTTACCTTATTGATACTTTTTCTCAAAAAAATTGATTTTCCCCCATAACCATTTATTTCCCCAATTCAAAGAATAAAACCTTAACATTTTTGAGGAAAAAAATTATCTTTTAAAAGTGGGGGTAATGATTTTTCTAGAAAATGTACACCCCTTGAGAATGAATGAGAATTTGGAGAAGAAAATGGAAATGGTATAGGAAGGAAGAGAGGAGTAATGGGGGGAGTAATGAGGGGAGTAAGGAGGAGAATAATGAGGGGGAGTAATGAGGGGAGGGTCACCTTTGTAATCTGATCTTCAAGAAGATCCATAAATCTTGTGAAATCCATATCTGATATTTTAGTATCAGCCAACTTCCGTAGATCAGCAGCAGTTTCAGGAGACAACAGACTAAATATAAAAATATATATCACATAATTTTAGCCTACTTATAAACAGTCCAATTGATTTTTAAGACAGGGTCGATTTTGAAGTGTCGAAAACCTGGGGTCTTAAATTTGACCGTTTTGGCTCACTTATGCTTTTCTGTAGCCTTTTACATGTACATGTTAGAACTTTAAATCACTTCTTGTTAGTTTTAGTTTTTAATAAGTAATTGACAAAATTCTTACAAATTTTTTGCTTGAGAACGCGAGACCTTTAAATCACAGTGATATATATAAAAATATTTAAATCAATAAAAACCCAGTTCACAGATATCTAAAATTAGGCTCTGAAACGGAAAACGCGAATATAATTGATATTTAGTTTGTGCAATGTAAAGATAACCTCAAGATACAATGAAAACTAGAAAACTGTAAAATAAAAAGACGACATTCAAACACTTGCTGTGTCTCATAAAAGACGACATTAAAACAGTCTTTGTGTTTTTATAAAGCAAATAGTATCTTAAAATCCCTCATTACGTGAAATTAGTCTGTGTACACTGCACACTTGCTGGGTCTCATATTAATTGGAATATTTGATATCATAGCTTGAGCCTATAGGTCGTCTTTCTTTTCCACAGTTCATTGATTCTTACTTACTGTCATGATCCCAGAAATATTTTCTATCGAAAATTAGGATGAATGAATGAAAGGCTGAATGAATGAATGAAAGAATAGGTGAAAACATAAATGAATTAATGAAAGGATGAAAGAATCAAAGGATTAATTATTAAGTGAGTGAATAAATGAATAAATGGGTGATAGAATTAACGAAAGGATGAAAGAATGAAAGAATGAAAGGATTAATTATTAAGTGAGTGAATGAATGAATAAATGGGTGATAGAATTAACGAAAGGATGAAAGAATGAAAGAATGAAAGGATTAATTATTAAGTGAGTGAATGAATGAATGAATAAATGGGTGAATGAAAGAAAGGATGAATAAATAAATGAATGAATAAATTAATTAATAAATAAATAGATGAAAGGATGAATGAAAGGAAGGATGAATAAATGAATAAATGAATAAATGAATTACCGTATATCTGCTAACTGATCCAACTGAACCTTATTCTTCAAGTTTTCAATAAATTCTCCAATACCATAGTGAGCTCGCCAGTTAGATAATTGAGACAGATTATAAACCTGGAAAATGTTTTAATAATTTTGATAATTTTGAAAATTCTCGCAAATGCAACAAATTGCTTTTTAAAATTAGGCAAGAAAAAAGGGGTGCATAAAAATATAAAGATACGACACTCAAAACTCTTTCCCAAAAACTCGCAATTCATCCAAATCACGAAAATTTTGTGATTTGGATGAAATTAAATCAGACTTTTCTTAGAATTGAAGTGATCAAATCTGACAATTTGTCATACTTAAGTCTGATGATTAAGAATGCCTTTAACATTTCCTTTACTTATATTGAATCGGTCAACCGATATTGTGCCAGTCCACTGATTACAGATCAGAACCTTTAATCGCATTAGATTATACTGAATAATGGGTCGTTGGTTATTAATTATTTATTTTTTGAAATAAAACAAAAATATGCAAAATTAAGTCTATCAGGAGGAAATATTTGAAACCCTCCAGAGATATAGGTTGTGAGAATATTTTCCCCCCAATTCAAAAAAATAAAAAAATTAAAGGATAAATAAGGAGGCAATTTAAGTATTTATTGTTTAAATTATATTTAATATAACTAGTGGTGGATTTTTAGTATATTTCGTCAATGAACGAACAACTTTTTAAAATAAAAATTATAGATTTATTTGTAACGATGATGTTGGCTGTACTTAGATAAAAAAGGAGAAAAAAGAGGGGTTAAAAGGGGGAGGCGGAGGGGGGGGTAAAGGAGGGAATAACCCCATCAGGATATTACCTTCTCTAGTTTGAGTATGCTGAAAATTGTCTGGTTAGCGTGACAGCTTCTGATCAACTCTACAGCTGTGTAGTGTTCACGGGATCGTCTTCCTCGGTTTAAGATCTAAACAATCAATCAATCAACTGATACTTTAATCAATCATTCAATCAATTATTCATTCTAGCATTCAATTTCCAAGCAGACTTCCATTCATCCAACCAATCATCTAATCAGTCAGTCAGTTCATCAACCAATCAATTAATCGATTAGTTAATCATTCAATCCATAAATTAATCAATCTATCGATGAATTTTCAAGAAAAAGACTATAAAATATTTGGATCGAAATCGATTGAGATGTTCCACCCAAAACAAAATTGAATCCCTACCACCTCTTAAAAGACTTGGCTTTGTGTACACTTGGTCAACAATTATAAAAAAATTAACCTATCAACTAATCAATCGGTCAATAAATCAATCGATCCGTCAATAAATGAATGAATCAATCAATCGATCCTACCTCTGAGAGAGTTGGCTGTAGATACAGCTGATCAACCTGGCGGAACAAGTCGGAGTCATTTGGAGATTTTAACGTTTCACACACAACCTTTAATAGATATTTTTATTAAATAGAAAAAAGTAATAAAAATTAACATCAAACTACGCCTGGGAACCTAGTTGAATTAAACAGGGGATTCTAGAAATTTGGGAAGAAAGGAGGGGGGGGGGGAACCCAGGGTGTACTGTGCAGTGTACACTGACCAATTTAATATAGCTAGTTATTGGGAAAGAATTTGCTTTAAAACAACATCAAATATAAATAAGATTGCTTAAATGTCGTTTTCCTATTCCATAGTTTAATGGGTCCGAAAACCCAGTGTTGCTCCTTATTTTCTCTCAGGGGCAAAATTTTGCATAGTCTTGGGAAAGAAAAGTTTTTAAAATTAATTACTATGAACATCTGATTTCTTATATTGTGCCAAAATATGACCCTAAAGAAAATATATTTAAAAAAATCAACCAAAAACGATTTTCTTTGTTAGATTCGTTTTTTTAAGGGAAAAAATATTCTCCGTATCCAATATCCATGTCAGCAACATTTCTTTAAGATTTACTGATATTTTGTTGAAAAAAAATGTTGAGATAAATTTCCTTTTTTTCGTTATTATTATGCTTAAACTTCATAAACCATTCAAAGATAAGGAAATATTTGATATCTCTTATTTTCAACAGTTCAGATTTGTGTTTGAGAGCGATTTTGGTTGATATTTTACTCTTTGCATCCAGATCCGTGGATCCGCATATTTCAGCGGATGCGGATCCGGATCCAGGAAGCCCAAATGTTGCGGATCCAACTTACCTTCTCAACTGAAGCTCCAATAAGAAAGTGTGCTGTGGTCACCACCATGATAACAAATGAGAAAAGGAACGTGAGATAAATTCCAGTTACCAGGCAGTTGGCACCAGTCCCCTACAAAGTATCATTATTATTCATGTTATCATTCATTAGAGACATTTTGATAAATAGAAACGTCTGCAAGAAGCGACGATCAAAATAATTCACTAATTCTTTTTACCCTCCGCTTCATAAGTGCAATGCAAAACATATTTTAATTCATGCGACATCGCACATTTTTGGGTTAATTCAGAGATTTTTGTTTAATTAATCTTAAGACACAGTTATTAAAAAATAATGATGATTAAATGACAATATCTTTATTTGCTTTCAAAAATGTACAACCTTCTGTCATGTTATGGCTGTAAAAAAAAATTGCGATTTCTATGCTTTCTTGTCTTTTTAAATGCAACTAATGTGAATTAATAGTTCATTAATTAAAAGTTATAAATCTATATAATATAACAAGACATTCGTAGCCGGCCAAACGCCTGGACTGAATTGGCTGATGGTAAATCAGAATTAATATTCAGAATCTCCGGTAGAGGCTGAGTGGGCGTTTCCTCTCTCCCCCTCCCCCCTTCATACTTCATCTCTCTGCGTCCTGAGAGGTTGATGTATAGGAGCAATGACGACCTCGCCAACCCTCTTGGAAAGGTCAAAGTCGTTTTTATGTTATTTTACACTTTGGATTTTAGAGTGCTTTCTTGTGGATTGTTTAATATGTCCCAAAACATTTAAGACATGATACATTTGTGGTAAAAAGTACAATCATTTTGGGCGGAAACAGCCTCTAGAGTCTACATGTCATAAACAAATTGGGACGGATTGTTTTAAAGAGAGTATCAACATAGTTTAAATTGACCCTCCATTAAAAAAATGAAAATAATGGCATCGTATTATCATTAATCTAAGCTTTAATCTACACCAGAGCAAGACAAAGGTTGAAATGCATAACTTTTATGACGCTGAAACGACGCAATCTTAAAATAAAGGGTCTTATTTACATTGACAATCCCTTGAAGTGTACACTGTGCATGAAATACCGCAATATGTACACGGGATACATCTTGTGTATTGATTGATTGTCCCTCTGTTGAGTTCAGCGGCATTACGCTTCCTTGTACACGTGCACAAGCTATACACAGTGCGCAAGTGCCACACGCTTATGTTGTTTCAAAATATACAAATTAATTTTGTTTTGGTAGATTCATTAATGCTCTTAGTTGTTTATAATATGTTTTTATATGTATATAAATTAGCAATCTCGGTTTTTTCTGTGTTTTGATTGTTAGTAGGTTCGATCATGACTCAGTAACCCTACGACCGATTTGCCTTAAATTTTGATTGGGGAACTGGGTAGAACCACGGTTATGCTCTTAGCTTGGTTTTAAAAATCTAAATTGAGAGGGTTGACTTTTGTGGCGAAAGTGGGTTGACTTTTACAGGATAACTCTGGGGAAAGATGAGTTCCCAAGCTAGTTTATTTATAAAACTGACCTTATTACAACATTCGTCTCCGTAGAGACCTCCGGCTCTCTTCCCGCACATCCCGTAGAAGAGGCCGAGGACGAAACAGACGAGGATCAGGAGGATGAGGCTAGAGAGCCCGATACCAATATAGTACCTGAACATATACCAATATGGTCAACTATGAAACAACCCACCATGGAGAAATATTAAACACACTTTCAGCTCATAATCTCATCTAAAAATTTTAAAAAATCAAAATTATAAAAAATGCTAAAAAGATTACTTAATATGGGATACACCCACCTGTACTCAAAGTACGGCTATGTATGCTATTGAACCCACCTACACTCAAAGTACTGCTGTGTTTACTATTGAACCCACCTGTACTCTAAGTACTGTTGTGTATACTATTGAACCCACCTGTACTCAAAGTACTGCTGTGTGTAATGATCAATGAGAGGAACATCCTTCTGTATAACCCCAATATCCACTTCCCTCAGTGCTGCTTGAATCTCAGAGTTCTGACGGTCAAGCTCTTCACCTAGTGCTCGAATCTCCAGTTTTACCTAAAAAAAAGAGAAAAGTTAGCGCTAGAAGAAAAAAGTTCTGAGGCGGGAGTTTTTGGTTGAGATAAAGCTGAACCCCAGAGTGAGAACTAGAAAACTCTAGAATAAGAAGACGATGTTTAGACTTAAATTATGACTTCAAATAGTCAAAAAAAAACATGAGAGATGGCAATAGTGCAGTGTAAACAGACCAATTTTACTAAATAGTTGAAACAACATCAAATTTACATAAGGGCTGCTTTAATGTCGTCTTCCTAATTCACAGCTTTCAGGTAAACTCACTTTAAATATCATTTTAGAATAAACATGTCTAGATTATCTACAAAAATCATCAGGTCAGAAAAAAAAACTTTTGATTGTCTGAGGTTTAAATTTTCTAGACCTTTTATTGGTCAAACCCCAGATCGCTGATCAAAGAAAAGAACAATAATAGCATCATCTGCAGGGAATAAAAAATGTCAGCTTTATGGCTTGTGTATTCTTTTTACGAAATATTTCTTATCAACTTGTTATGTCATGAAAATTAACAATATATAAAAAAATAGGCATAATAATGAACTATTATATTCGATACGGTATGAGAAGGAACTTCTTTTCGCCGCACCATCAAAATAATTTCACAACATTTTTTGTGCAGATAAACTTTTAGCAAACAAACAAAGAAGCAAGAATACTTTTTGTCACAATTAGAATATGTATTTTACAAATAAAAAATAAACTAAACATACCTTTTTAGAAAGATTTTATAATTTACCTTAGGTTTAATATCATCAATTGATTTCTCTATTTCTTTCTCAATACTGTCAAACTCCGCCTTTCCGCTCTACACAGAAAGAGTTAAAAACGCTTAATTTACTTTTTAGAAATGTTAAAATTTCAAGAACTTTATTAATAGCGGAATATTTTTAAAATACACCGACTTTTTTTAACGATATTTAAAGAGTTATTTTTTTTGCGTAATTTATTAGATCAGGGGACGTATTGGGATTTAACCCATCACATTCAACAGACTTCGTAAAGGGACTGCCTGGTGCCAACGTAATTACAAGTCATGCAAAGACGGCAAAGTTCGATTAACACCGTGCTTAGCAGTGCTTAGGATCTATTTAATTTTGATGCGGATCCATATCCGGATCCGGATCCAGATCCAGGTCATTTCTTTCCTGATTTATTTAATTTTTTTAACAAAAAATAATTTTCAAATTTTCTGTTTTATTTTTTTTGAATTTTTGTATTTATATTGATGAACCATTAAAAAATGAGGAAATTTTTATAATCTTCTTTTTTTCTAAAAATTCAGATTTGGGTTTTAGGAGTAAAAAGTGTTTTTTTCCCCGTTTTTGGTTGATATTTTACCCCTTGGATCCGGATCCGTGGATCCGCATATTTTTGCGGATCGATGTTTTTAATTTTGAAGAAAACTGATCATTTTAATTGTGGTTTCTCTACATGAGTGACTTACGCATTTCTATTGCAGAAGATGTACCAAGGAAACTATCAGAAAAACAATATCTTCCACAATATTGATCAAATAAAGGTTTTAAGGGTACTGTTATGAATCTTTGAATGTGGAGTCACTGGAAAAATACGCTTACAGTCCCTTTAACAATGACTTACCAATACTTTCTTCTCAATATCATTCTGAATAAGATCGGAGACTCCTCGTAGGGTAGAGGCGAGATCAGGCATGTTAAACTTTATATTCACAAACTCCTCGGCTAGAAAACAAAAAATATAGATTTTTACAAAAAAAATAATTTTTAGCACCTTCGGGGAAAATTGGTATAAATTTCTGATAGGTAAATAATTAAGTTGTAAAACAGTGAAAAAAAATGTCAATACCTGAAAAGCTATCTATTTTCCTCTGGGTCAAAAGTTTCAATTAACGAATAATTTGTCAACTCATCGGAAAAGTCCAAAATAATTCTCAAAAAGATTGAAGCAAACTCACAAAAAGAAACATGCTTATGACCTCGAATACTGATAATGCATATGTACTTTGATTAGGTGTAGTGTTATTTTATTAATATATAATATATATATGAATATTATTAATATTAATATATTAATATATCTTTTTTTAATATCTTAAAATCCTACCGAGTGCTAAATCCTGTTCTAGATTATACTCCTTGAGAAAGCTGTTACACCGAGCATCTTCATTACAGTCCCTTAGAGCCACCACCAGGGACTCCTGGGCCTTCCCCAGTCCATCCTTCAGCTGCTCAACCTAAAAAACACCACATGCTTACAAATGGTGTCAAAACAAAATGGCGGACAAATAAAATGGCGCCAAAACAGACGAAGAAACAAAATGACCAAAAAAAAGGCAGGAAACAACTTTATAATGCGCCAAATCAAAATGGCGGTAAAACTAACTGACGTTTACACAAAATGGGGTCAGAAAACAATGGAGTATAACAAAATGGAGTGTAATCAAAAGAAACTAAGAAAAATAAAGGCGAAACAAAATGGTATCAACCAAAATTACATTTAAAAAGGATTAGGATCAAAAGAGAGAACGAAAGTAAAAGAGGAAGCACCAACCTTCTCCTCTAGTGTCCGGGTATCTGCTAGAATATCCTTCAGGTTTAATCGAATCTGTCCCAGACCACTGAAATAAAAATATTGCAGCTGTTATAATCCCTTAGCATAAATGTTCCTAACTGAATTTATGAAAATATGTTTTTTAACTCACGCAAACATTGATTCATTAAAAAATATAGTTTTGTAAACATTTGACGAGAAATATCCATCAAAGCTGAAGCGGAAAATTTTTCAAAAGTTGTATCTCAATAAATAAATCAGTTAACAAATGAGAAGAAAAACTACCTAACAATAGCTGTTAGATTATTGATGGCAATTGCTTTGGTAACTGTTGCCAAGGAATTCTTCAAGATGAGACCAGAGTCATCAAGAACCTAAAAAATATGAAAGATATGAAAAAAAATTCTAAATTTTTTAGTTGAAAAAAAATTATTATCTTANTAGATAGATAGATAGATAGATAGATAGATAGATAGATAGATAGATAGATAGATAGATAGATAGATAGATAGATAGATAGATAGATAGATAGATAGATAGATAGATAGATAGATAGATGATATTATAGATATGCTCAAGATACACTCCAGTATCCTCCAAGCTATCCTCAAGCTAGATGGATAGATAAGATAGATGGATAGATAGATAGATATGATAGATATGCTCAGGATACACTACAGTATCCTCCAGGCTATCCTCAAGCTAGATGGATACATAGATAGATAGATAGATAGACAGATAGATATATAGATAGATAGATAGATAGATATATAGATAGATAGATAGATAAAGATAGATAGATACCTTCTTGGTTAACTGTTGGCTACCCTGGTAACTGTAGTAGTTGGTAACATATGCGCATACCACTCCGAATACAGTTGCCATCACAAACAGGGATACAAGGACCCCTAAACATTTAGAAATTGATTAATTGATTAGTTTTCCGATTGATAGATCTTTTATTGATCGATTATAGTGAACAGATCAAGTAAAAAGATTATGCTTCAATAGCTGAAGGGCCCGTAAATTGTTTTATTATATAGAAGATTAACAATTGATCGATTGATTGATTGATATCAGCTGATCAAATGATCAATGAATAAACTGAAAAAGTAAAGCATATTTATATACTCAAAACAAGATCCGGAATAAATATTTTAGAATACCTCAATTAGTCATTGCTAGGTCAGTAAAATAGAAAACCCAAAGATTAAAAAACCTGTTTTTTTTTCTCTCTCTAATATTGGAAATTATACAAGCTATTAGTGACGCAACTTTCTACGTGTATCATAATGCGTATCTGCTTTAAAGTCAGGTAAAAATATTCAGGTTTCATTATCATGTATTTTTGTATTTTTTTTTGGGGGGGAGGGGATTTCTAGAAATTATCAAATACCTATAGTTACGCGCTTGCATGCGTCAGAGCGCTTGTCGTAATGCGTATCCGGATACGCAGCACACCGTCCACAGCAGCGGCAACAACAGAAACAAAATCCTGAAAATACGCAATTATATATTTTCCCATATATATGTGTTTGTTTATTTTTCGTCGTAATGGCTTAACCATTTAAAAAACAATTCTCCAATAAAATAATGATATTTCAAATTTTGAATAATAAACGCAAAAATAAAAAAAATATCACTCGACTAGACAGCCGTAGGACGGGGGCTTAGAAGCTTAGTTAAAAATATCAAATAAAGATGAAAATTTATTAATGAAAATGTGGTTAAACTATGTACGACTGATTCAACTATATTAGTTTTACAGAATACTCAAGTTCAAGTGGTTTAAAGGGAGTGTCTGGCTAAACATGGTAGAGCTGATTCAGGTGGTTTAAAGGGAGTGTCTGGCTAGACATGATAGGGCTGATTCAAGTGGTTTAAAGGGAGTGTCTGGCTAGACATGGTAGAGCTGATTCAAGTGGTTTAAAGGGAGTGTCTGGCTAGACATGGTAGAGCTGATTCAATTGGTTTAAAGGGAGTGTCTGGCTAGACATGGTAGAGCTGATTCAAGTGGTTTAAGGGGAGTGTCTGGCTAGACATGGTAGACCTGATTCAAGTGGTTTAAAGGGAGTGTCTGACTAGACATGGTAGGGCTGATTCAAGTGGTTTAAAGGGAGTGTCTGGCTAGACATGGTAGACCTGATTCAAGTGGTTTCAAGGGAGTGTCTGGCTAGACATGGTAGACCTGATTCAAGTGGTTTAAAGGGAGTGTCTGGCTAGACATGGTAGACCTGATTCAAGTGGTTTCAAGGGAGTGTCTGGCTAGACATGGTAGACCTGATTCAAGTGGTTTAAAGGGAGTGTCTGGCTAGACATGGTAGACCTGATTCAAGTGGTTTAAAGAAAGTGTCTGACTAAACATGGTAGAGCTGAATTAAGTGGTTTCAAGGGAGTCTCTGACTAGACATAGTAGAAAGAGGATTTTAAAGATCGATTTTGCACTCTTACTTAGAAATAATTCTCTACAATACTGGATTCTTAATTACTCTACCAATACAATGTATTAAAAGTTAAAATAAGCAAGAAATTGTGTAGAAAAAAGAAGATTGGGGGAAAGAAAAAATGGTGAGGGAATTCAAGAAACGAAGGGGGGGGGGGAATATTCAAGAATTCAGAATTATTCCCACCTACCTGTTATCGGTATAACAACGGCAAGAAATATCCCGAATATTGCAGTTGTAAGAATTCCAACATTCTGGAGCATAATATCCTAAAGAAGATTTTTTTTTAAATGTTATAATGTAGATTTTTTCTTTAAAGTACCTTAATAATAATTATAATAATAATAATATTAAATACGTAATTTAAAGTAACATCCATTTACTTGCTTCACAACAGTATCCTTTATATCTTATGCAAAAATATTTTTAAATATGTCAAAAATCTCAAAATCAACGTATCTCTTACTGATCAGAGCTGGGAACTTTTGAACGGTGGATATCGGGATTAATGTTTGATCTTTTTTTTTCTTAATCTCCAGATTAAATAATGCTTGTTCTCCTCTTGTTATTAATCTCCAGATTAATTAACCGATCGGGAACTTTTGTGTTCGATACTTATAATCCAGATCGCTTATTCTCGATATCCACTGAGGACACTTTTAATTTGAGGAACTAAAAATGCATTTTCCAATTTCCATATCTTCATTTGACGATTAACACGCGGGTTATCGAATAAAGATTAAATTAGTCTGCAGATTAACATCAAGCATTGATCTCGATATCCGAAAACATGAGTTCCTAGCTCAGGGTAAACATTTATTAAAAATCTCCCTTTCAATAACCCCCCCCCCCTCCCACTCCTACTTTTCTACCTGCCAGTTTTCTTTGAGTAGGTTGAGAACATCTTCAGGACTTTTCTCCGCAGCTTCGTGTATAGTACTCACGTTTATACCTCAAGTATCATTATTATTACTGTTATCATTTTATCAGAATCGTCATAAGAATTGTATAATTAAAAATTGTGAAAATTCTAAATTTTATAAACCAGATTTACTTATCAGGGAAAATTCTTTAATTTATGTGTTCTCCAAAATTTAATAAATAAAAGTAAAATTTTTATTTGGGTAAAGAAAGAGGGGTGCCCCCCCCCCTCTCACTTTAAGAAAAGAGGAAAGGGTTTACCAAAAAGGATTAGACTTCAGAGACGACTGTACAGAACTTAGGATGTCTGTTTCCTTAAATTCGTGATTCTCTGCAACTATAAACTTTTTCCTTTCTTTTCTAATGCATTTACTAAGCCAATAAAAGAATATTTTCAAGGCAAGACATAATTTCACCTTGGGATCGTCATATCACAAGAGTAAGCAGTGCTTAGGATCCATTTACTTTTAATGCGGATCCGGATCCTGGATTTGCATTGGAAAAAATGGATCCGGATCCGGATTCAGGTCATGAACATTTCTTTTAGATTTACTGAACAAAATAATTTTTTCACAATATTTTTTCAAATAATTTTTTTTTCAAATAATTTTTCTCCTTTTTGTTTTGTTAATGCTATATCTTGATGAACCATACCGAGAAAAGGAAAGCCTCAGAACTATTTTTTATCGTCTTTAGATTCTCATGCTTTTTTGATAACCCTGTATGTGCGGGGGGGGGGGTTTACTTACTTGGTGGAAGAACGTTATCTCTCTGAATAAGATCTAGAAACGTGTTGGCCAGGAAGTAAACGTGTTCCATTCCACGAGCATTAAAGCTGGCATCACTAAACAAATAAAAATAAATAACTTTTTTTTTCTTCCTCTGAATCTGTCTGAGCAAAAGTTGTGAAGATATTCATTATTTTACTCGCTAAAAATAATTTTTTTTAATAGTGGTTTTCCTGCAAAAGCGATTTACATACAAGTGCTGAAGAGACAAAGAAGGGGATTATCAGAATTTGAACAGATTTTAAACTAGAAAAAAAACATAAGATTCTCTGTCTAAAATTGTCATATCTATAAAATATTTGTCAACGAAGTGTCGCTACTCAACATCCTATTTAGTAGCAAAATATTTCCACAAAAAAAATAGAAATGAGGGAATCTGAGTTCAAGATTTACGTATTAAATTTTTAACTAGTTCAGCGTCAATAGAGGATAAGAAAATCTTACAAATTTTATTTCCTTATTGCTGAGCTACTTTACAATAAAAGAAGTTGAACCAATTGTATTTAGTTCAACTACTCTTCTCTATTCAAAAATGTACCTTCTGTAGATGGGTTGAGAAGGGAGGGGAGTATATGTGACAGTATGCTGTAGTACACCTTCAGGGGCGGTTAGTGAAACATCCTGACTGTGCTAAAATAATAGTTTTTTTTACTTCCTATATATGCCTTCAGGGGCGGTTAGTCTACATTCTTACAGTGCTTAAGTATGAGGTTTCTAAATTATTTGTACATCCTCAAAATGCTAAAAGACAGGGTTATGAATCATATGTGCGACCCTAATATGCTAAATATATTAGGGTTGAACTCCTGTTTATGCCTTCAGGGGCGGTTAAGTTAGGGCGGGCCCGTAAAGCCTATTTGTAACGGTGTTTTTATTATATTTCCAATAAAATGAAACCTGAAATACCATAAGTAAAATGTATTATTATAATTATTAATATTAATAATAATTTTCTTCCTAACATGCCATAATACATAATAGATATAATAATAGAAATGATAAAAAACCATTTCTGAAATTAAGAATATTTAGAAATTAATGAAAATCGCTTTCTTTATATAAAAAATGTTGTTTAACATAAATCAGCTGACAGAGAAGCAGGAACTAACTAAGGCAAAACAGGGAAATTTTCTCAATACTTAAATTAATTATTTTTAAAGTTATTTAATTACTATTTAGCAATATTAATTGATAAAATAATTAATCTTTTGAGAGAATGATAAACCCTGGCCTTTGGCAGGGTTTTACTTGGGAAGAGACTGGACGCCATTAAAATTATTGACTCACAACAAGGTCAGATTGAGGAACATATTTACTGCCATTAACAAAAATCGAAGACGACAAAATCAAGCGCATCTGCTGCGTTTGATTTTAGTTTCATCTTCCACTTCGTTCTGTATTTATTTATCTCAGATGGTGATGGCCATATAAATCGTAAACCTTTTTTTTGAAAATACGCCAAACTTGCATTAAAAATCCGCTAGTTGCCCTTTGGTAAATCTATCGTGAAGACATGAGTATGCATAGTTTTAAAATGTGTGATCTGTTAAATCAAGATCTAATCAATAATTGTATACTAAACGTAAATGTTCTCTTTCAGAGAATAATGATAATTTAAATCTCCAAGAATAAATCTTAGATCTAGGGAATTTTTTGATAATTCGACAATTATTTGTATTTTTGAAAGGAATTCATAGTTTTTTTTGTATATGTTTGTCATTCCAGTTTTAAGATCTCAAATCAATTCATTGGGGTATTATTTTCAGGGGAAATTATAGTCTTTTAGATTAGTCTTTTATATGTAGATTCCTAGAGAACGATTTTGGGACCCCCCTCATTTCTCATCTATATATACAATTTCCTTGTTAGCTTGCAACCGATTAACTCAAAACGGCTGAACCGATTGGGCCCAAATTTTTGTAATTCTCTTGATACGATCTAGGGAAGGATTATGGATGGTTAGAAATAAAAATCAAAACAAAACTTCGAGTATTAAAATGCATGAAAAAAAAAATAAGAACAACTACCAATAATTAAGAGATAAAATCGAAGATGGAGGGGAAGTGTTCTTGTAGCCTAGTTATTTATAATTATATAAAAAAATTCGTTAGTTATCAGCGCTTCAGTGTGACCGGTTCTGCACTTGAGATTGCTCGGCTCGGTTGATAATAAAATACAGCTGAAATGTCTGGTAGTATCAGTAGATCTGTTTCTCTTCTGTCTCCAGAGGATGGAGTTGGTAAATATTTAGTAGCGGATTATTATAATTGGGGGGGGGGGGGAAGATGAAACATCCTTTTTGTACCCTCCCCCCCACTTTCTGGTATATAAGTGATGTCATCACCCTGGAAAGATATGGGATGCAATATTTATTTCATTGGCCAAGGATTGTTTAAAAATGTTACATATTAAATCCATTAAAAACAAAAAATTGGTAAGTGCTGAAGCACAGGGGCTTGTCAGAATGCTTAATCCAATTAAAATTAAAGTTTAAATAAATGATCCGTTTTTTTAAGTTTTCTTTCAACAATAATTTAGATGTCGCGAAATTTTTTTAATTTACAAAAATAATTAATTTTAAAATCAAATCGATGAAGAAAAAAGTTTGAAATTAAATTGTCCAAACCTTTTCCAGAACGTTCGTTTTTAATTTGTATCCTAATTTTTATTCTTATGAAAAAAGCTCCTTTAAAGAAAAGGTTTTTAACAAATCATTTTTTAACTTACCACTTAATACATACAATAATGAGGCATGATCTATAGTTGTTGAAGTATACTGTTAAGTATGTGCATTAGTGTGAATCAAATATAGATATCAATAAATAAAAAAGTAAAAATAATTCAAAAATGTTTTGTTAAGGTTTAGCTGGTGGCCTGCCGGCATCCAATCCCAGGGGAGATTCAGGATTCGTTAATCCAGGTAGAGAATAAATTTCTCTTCAGACTTCTCCTTTTTCCTTCTTTCTTTTTTCTTCTTTCTTCGCCTTTTTCTTTGTCCCTCTTTTTTATTCATTCTTTTCATTTATCCTTTCTGCTCCTCTTTTTCTCCTTCTTCATCCTCCGCCTTTTTCCTTCTCCCTCTTTCTTCTTCATTTTCTCTCCCTCCTGTTCTGCTTTCTTCCTCTTCTCCTATTTTCTCTGTTACCCCATCTACTTCATTATCACTCTACCTTCTTTTCTTGCCCTTCTCCTAACCCCCCCCCTTTCTTCCTTTTCTCTTGCCCCCTTCTTCTACCCCCCCTCCTTCTTTTTCCTGTCCTCCATTCTATAGTTATAATATTTGTAATTTAATAAAACATATGAAAGTTTTGCTCTAAATAAAATGTGTTTGATTTTGTACAAGGCTTTTATTAAATTAAATTTATTTCTAATTTATTTTCAGCCAACTCTCCTTCTCCTCTTCAACACTTCGTTCAGGTGATACGTGTAATCAATCAATAATTTGATCAAGTAATCTCACATTTAATTAACTAGTCAATTAGTTAATTAACTAACTAATTATATAATTATATAATTCATTAACTTATAAATTAATTAATTAATCAATTAATTAACTAATGAAATAACTAACTAATCAGTTATTCAACTAAGCAATTAATTAACGAACCAATTAATTAAGTTATCAACTACTTAATCAATCAGCCAATCAACTGGTCAATTTATCATTTGAACAACTTATTTATTCTTTTATCAATTCGTTAGTCCTTTAATCAAACAATCAGTCAATTTAAAGATCGATCTCTTTCAATTAAAACACCTTGAATATATAAACCAGGCGAAAAATATCAATCAATCAATCAATGCTCTAGGCGAAGAAGAAGATCAATGAGGTGTTCCGTGAGATGGAACAGTATATCCATGAGACAGAGAGGTTCCTTGACACTGTTCCTGAGGATATCCTGGAACCTGATGTTCTCAAGAAAGCTCTAGAATTCAGTAAGTGTGAATACCCTAGCTTAGAATTCGGAATCGTACACTTCTAGCTCCCTAGATCCGGATCCGTATTCCGTATCCGCTAAAATATGCGGATCCTGGGTTTCAGAACTTGGATATAATATCTGCCAAAATATTGAGAAAAAGTCTTGCTCTCTAAATTCACATTTTAAGTGTCAACTGTTAAGATAACGTTAACAAGTTTTGAAGATTTTTATCAAGAAAACTTTTGTTGATTTCTTTATATTCAACTCTAATCAGGACATTATTTCAAGTTAATATGTTTTCTGGAGATGTGTCTTAAAGGAACATTATTTCAAGTTAATATGTTTTCGGGAGATGTGTCTGAAAGGAACGTAAATTCAAGTGATTCTCCTTCATTTAAACAAAACGGCATGTACGAGTCACCCTTCTAGACGTTGACTGAAAAAGAATGCATAAGATATCTGTCATCTTCTCCGTGTAAATTGATTTTTGTCAATTGTGGTTTCTCTTTGCTAAAATAAAACACTTCAAGTTAGAAAAACGACAATATCTTTCACACTCTTGATCAGATAAAGGTGTCAAGGGTACCATTGTGAATCATACATCAGATAGAGGTTTAAAGGGTACCATTGTGAATTAGGCATACAACTCTAAATGGAAATTACGTTTACAGTCTATATAATCAGCAAATGTTAAGGTGGAAAAGTGAACGGCATCAGGGAAGTTTTAGAACGAGATCACATGAAGGTATGTCAATCAAACCGTTTAAAACAAAATATGTTAAATTGGTGTTTAAAACAGAAATGTTACATTTTAGAAAATTTCGAAACAATGGGTTAAATGGAATTTTCTTTAACATTTTAAAATCTTTTTGAAATATTGATAGGTTGCATTCTTTGGACGTACGAGTAATGGAAAGAGTACCGCTATTAATTCTTTACTCGGAGAGAAAATTCTTCCTACGGGCATAGGACATACCACCAGCTGCTTTCTCCAGGTATAGGACATACCACCAGCTGCTTTCTCCAGGTATAGGACATACTACCAGCTGCTTTCTCCAGGTATAGGAAATACCACCAGCTGCTTTCTCCAGGTATAGGACATACTAGCAGATGCTTTCTCCAGGTATAGAACAAACTACCAACTACTTTCTCCAGGAATAGGACACACTACCAGCTGCTTTACCCAGATATAGGACATATCACCAGCTGCTTTCTCCAGGTATAGGACGTACTACCAACTACTTTCTCCATGTATAGGACATACTACCAGCTCCTTTCTCCAGGTATAGAACATACTACCACCTGCTTTCTCAAGGTATAGGACATACTACCAGCTCCTTTCTCCAGGTATAGAAAATACTACCAGCTGCTTTCTCAAGGTATAGGACATACTACCAGCTGATTTCTCTAGGTATAGGGCATGCTACCAGCTGCTTTCTCCAGGTATAGAACATACTACCAGCTCCTTTCTCCAGGTATAGGACATTCTACCAGCTCCTTTCTCCAGGTATAGGACATACCACCAGCTGTTTCTCCATGTATAGAACATACTACCAGCTGTTTTCTCCAGGTATAGGACATACAATCAGCTCCTTTCTCCAGGTATAGGACACACTGCCAGCTGCTTTACCCAGGTATAGGACATACTACTAGCTGCTTTCTCCAGGTATAGAACATAGTATCACTCCTAGCTGATTTCTCCCTTTTATATTTATTTTCTCAGACAAATGTGAAATATTTCTTAATCTGTTCTATTTTGAAAAGGAGTTGTTAACTTAAACTGGAACCTTTGGAATATATCAACAAAAAATCAGCAGTCAAATTTTGGTAAACTTGATTTAAAAATGAAATTAATATATTTAGGTTGAAGGATCACAGACTGGGGAAGCATACCTCACTACAGAGGGATCAGGTTCATAGGGGGAAATGAGAGTGCTTTTAAAAGTGTGTGCGTGGGGGGGGGGGGTATAGAAAAAATGTATTATACTAGCCATAGAGGGCGCTTCGCGCCCATCTTCTAAATTAATTGTGAACATGTTCTCTTTGTGTACATCGTAAAACAAAACAAAAATAATTCGCGGATTTTCACAAAAAATTTCGCGGATTTTCAAAATTTTCAAAAATTTAATGACGATCGAATTTTGATGGAGACAAATATTTGAAATTTTGATCATTCATAAACCTTCCCTGGGGTCCCTAGATGTCCCACAAAAAAGTTGGGCCCGATCGGTTCAGCCGTTTTGACGTTTATTGGATACAAACAAACAAACAGACAGACAGACAGACAAGCCAAATTTATATATAGATATCCCTGATATTTTCAAATTCTCTGGTATTCTCTTCTGTATTGTAAAGCCATATGAAACTTTCTATGATCATGTTGTTCTACCCAAGGGTGGCTTGCAATATTTTCCAGAGTAAGGAGGGGAGGGGGGGGGATTATTGAATTGATTTCCCCCCCTTATGGTATTTTAAACAGGGAATTTATTAACTTTTATTTCAAAACCATGACAAGGTAGGGGTAGGAGGGGGGAAATGTGTAACCAAATTCTTTTTTATTTTTTAAAAAGAATGTTTTTTTTGTGATTATTTGGTGGCGCAGGGAATTTTTTTTTCAAACAATAATCTTGCGCCTCTAATTTGTCAATGTCCAGGGGTGGGGGCGTCCTCCTTTCCTTCCCCCTTAATCCGCCTCTGTTTCTATCTATATCTATCTATTTATCTCATTCAAACTTTAATTGAACAAAATTACAGTAAAAATCTATATATGTATAATAAAATGTAAACACTCATTTACAAAATGCTTTTCGCATTATTCTCTCTATTTCACGTTAGATTTAGGTTTGACTAGTAGCATTTGACAATTCTGGAGTGGGATTTGAAAGAAAGAAAATAGGAAATATATATCTATCTATCTATCTATCTATCTATCTATTATCAGGTGAACACAAGAGCCTAACCTCTCTCTCACAGCTCGGGAACGCGCTCAGTACAGAAACCCTGGAGCACAATAGCCAGGTAACTCACAAGCTTAAAGGGGACTGTTCACGTTATTACGGAATTCTGATGGTTCAATTGCATTTTGAATTTTTAAACCTTATTCAGTTGTTTTTCGAAAGCCTTTTTGTCAATATATTTCCCCCCCCTTTTTTTCTATAAGGGACATAATTTTTCAAGAAAATATATGGTGTTCCACAAAACTTGACAGAAACGTAAAAGTCGTACTTGATTTTTGCAATAATTGATAATTTGCGACACTTCTAAATCTCTAAACTTATAAATCTAAAATTAGATTTCAATGCCGCAAATTATAAATAATTTCAAAGGTCAATACTACCTTCAAGTCGTCTTCTTACTGTCAAGTTTCGTGGGACACCCTGTATAGTTAATATAACTCTGAATTTATTTGTTTTTATTCCCAGGTTCGAATCCACTGGCCGGTTGAGAAATGTCGACTCCTCGGAGAGGAGGTCGTCATCATCGACAGTCCAGGCATTGATGTCGAAGCTGACCTCGACAATTGGATCGACAGGTAGGAACCTGATCATGTTTTTTCAGAGGCGCAACTTGGATATTTTGTTTGGGGGGGGGGGGGAAGTATATCTTCTAAAATTTGTGGTTTTATCTAATCTTTATAAAAACAAATTCTGTATTTTCACTTTTGACATGAAAAATAAATATATAAATTAATCCCTCCCCCCTTCTCCTCTCCTGTTGAGATATAGCAACCTTTGGTGATAATAGTATTCCAGGTCAGGCTAGGTCAAGATAGATAGATAGCCACGGAGTATACAAGATTGCTATTAAAGTGAGGGTCAAAAAACTTAATAGGAAAACGACGTTTAATCAATGTTTTGCATATTTCAGATCTAAACTTGATTTTATTTATATTGATTTAAAGAAATATAGTTTGATTCTAGCTTGAAAATCACCCCATTAAAGGGAGTCACCTGCTATGTAAGGTAGTTAAACTGAGTATGCAGTGTTATGGACAAATTCTTTAGGATTCATTTGAGACATATTAAACGTTTCCACTATGTATAATTACTGAGTTTAAGCGCAAAGTCGACGTTCAAAATCATGATTAATAATTTAATAATTAAAAAAAAATAATTCTGAAAACGTGCTCTTTCAAAAGTACGATTTTGAACGTCGACTTTGCGCTCAAACTCAGTAAATATATGTCGTAGAAACGTTTTATATGTCTCAAATAAATCTTAAAAAAAATTTACCACAAAAATACATATTCAGTTCAACCACCATAAATTGCCGGTCACTCCCTTTAAGTGAAATCGGTCTGCGTGTAGCACACAATTGCTGTCTTTCATGTTCTTGGACTACTGAAAATCATAAACTGCGTCTTAAAGTCGTCTTCCTATTCCAAATTTGTATGGGTCTCACCGTATGGTCCACGACACAAATAATCATTATTAACCTAATTGTGTCTGATATGTAAAGGTTCTGTCTGGACAGCGACGTGTTTGTCCTGGTCTCAAACGGGGAGTCCACCATCATGAACACGGAGAAAAGGTTTTTTCACAAAGGTAGACATCTTTGTCACAAAGAAATGTGTTTATATACTGGTTATATTTTGTATGGCCCATCTCTTCTAAAAATAACTTTTGCCTGTGCTGGTAAGATTTTGTGTAATTATTTTGGAGAAAATTATATAATATTTATCAGTAATAACAGTAATTCAACTATCCGTAACTAGTTCAACTTCTTCTCGCTGTTTATGAAATCCAACTTTTCCTTGTTCTTCGCCTTCCTGCCCTATAGGTGGCACAGGCGGTCGTTCTTGCCTGGTTTTGAGATTCAACGGTCATCGCCGTGTACTTCATTTAGTTGAACTAAACATCTATGCAAAGATGGCAATGTCCGATTTACAACGGTAGCTTTAAAATCTTTGTCTGATCAAGTGTGAATTAGATACAAATTTTTATCATTTCGAAAACTGTATATTTTCGATTGTGGTTTCTCTGCAAAAGTGAGTTGCACAGGAAAATATAGGAATTATCAAAGATAAACACTTTGAACCTAGAAAAATTAAAAAATCTTCCACATTCTTATCACTCAGATAAAGGTTTTAAGAGTGCTGTTGTGAATGGGGCATTGTCATCTTTACGTGAAGGGTCATTTGAAAGTACGCTTACAGTCCCTTTAATTTGATGAACATTGTTGTATAGTGAGTGAAAGATTGTCGAATCCAAATCTGTTTATTGTTCACAATAGATGGGATTGCTCAGCTGGGGAGGATTGCCAGGTAATCATCAACATTACCGACCCAAGATTTACCAAATTGCGGGATGTTAAGTTACTTAACTGACCCTTGGGACGGATCTTGTAAATAACATCCCGTTCGTGAAACATTTACTCGTTTTCATATCAAAAGACAATACAAATGTGTATATTTCTTTATCAATTAGTAATCAAAGTATAATTTTGACAACTTATTTTCAAGTGGGTTCTCTACAAAAGGGACCTACGCATTTCTACTGTCGGAAAACATACAGGAATTAAACATTTTCAAACCTAGAAAAAAAGGCAATATCTTCCACATTATTGTTGAGATAAAGGTTTAATGGGTTCCGTTGTGAATCCAGTTTTTCCATCTTTGCATGGAGGATCACTTGAATTTACGCTCATAGTCCCTTTTACTTCGGATTCAGTTGAGAGAGCTCATATAAATCTTTAGAAAAGAATTAAAGTTAATATAAGTTATTTTGCAGGAGGATGTGCGTAAGCAGCACACGAATAGAGCAGTACAGTTCCTAACTCAAGAGCTGGAGATTTGTACTAAGGTGTGTACTGCAATTCTTATCTATATAATAAAACTAAACATAAAACAAGTGTATATGTTCCCTACAGCCGGTCAAACGGCTGGTCGAATGGGCTAAAAAAAATTGAGTGAACCCAGGGGTTTCCGGGGGTAACATATACTAAAAAAATTCTAAAATTTATATTTTTCAAAAATCTAATTATTTTTTTTCAATAATCTTATTTTTTTTTAAAAATCAAAATTTTTGTTGCTATAATGAAATTTTTTATTATTCCACGGCTAACGCCGGGCCCTTCAGCTATTGTACAATATTAGTGTACAGCTTCTTCAGAAGCCGTTCAGCACGTTTTTTAATTTTTTTTGGGGGGGTAATATTTCACAATTATCACATTTTTTATGTTCAAAATTTGAAGAAGTTTAAATGGTCTTACAGTATTCATATACATTTTTAGTGACCTTAAAACAGGAATAAAAACCCTTTTAAAAATTCATGTGAAATTAATTTTTAATGAGAGGGGGATTATTTTGTGAATAAAATAATTACCCCTGTATTTCCCCCTGATATGTTCAGGATGAGGCAGCAGACAGAATATTCTTTATATCAGCTAAAGAAGCTCTTCAGACCAGGCTTCAGGTATCTATCTATCTTCAGACCAGGCTTCAGGTATCTATCTATCTTCAGACCAGGCTTCAGGTATCTATCTAACTTCAGACCAGGCTTCAAGTATCTATCTATCTTCAGACTAGGCTTCAGGTATCTATCTATCTTCAGACCAGGCTTCAGGTATCTATCTAACTTCAGACCAGACTTCAATTATCTCTATCTATCTATCTAGTTATCTTTTTATTTATATATCTATTTATCTATTCTTTTTTCTTATTAGGGTTTCCATTCGCAAAACTTTTGCGCAATTTTTGCGGAACGAAACGCAATATTTTTCTTTCTTTGCGCATCAATTTTGCGCGAAAAAACCGGTTCTAAAACGTTTGGTTTTACCATTTACAACATTCTATTATAAACCTGATTTTACCATTTTCAATATCCGGCTTTAATACTGGTTTTACCATTTAAAATATCCTGTTTTAAACCCGGTTTTACTTCTTACAATATCCTGTTCCAATACCAATTTTACCATTTACAATATCCTGTTCTAAAACCGGTTTTACTTGTTACAATATCCTGTCTTAAAACCTGTTTCACTGTTGGAAAATTAATTATTCTAAATTAATTTACAATATTTAAAATAAACATGTTCTCTTCCGTTCTTTCATGATTACGAATTTTAAGTAGGTTAACTCAGGGATTCAGACTCAAGGGGCAAAATATACATTTATAAACTTTATGTTTCAGAAACTGAAATCCCATATGTTGATCCTAATCCACCTTATCAACTATATAGACTACGTCACTAGCACCGTAGCACACAATATTTCCAACGTCCTCTGGTTTCTAGGGTAAACACTGTTTTATTATAGTTCTGGAAAGATTATGAGCCTGGTGCAAGAAACCTCAAGTAAAGCAAAACAAGCGGAAGAGATTATGAAAAAAGAACTTCTGCACCGGTAAGTAATCCTACAATCTACAACTCATCAGGGATGTATATTTTCTTGAAAAATCATCCCGTTAAGATGTTTTCGCCGAGTTCCCTTTTTCACCAGGTTTAAAAATGTGTATTTTGTTATGGCGTTACTAATACAGCAAACGGCACTGGTCAATGTCATGTTCAGGTATGAATAATGGTGGCGGGAAGTGGTGGGGGTAGAGCCCCCTCCCCCCTCCTCCTCCAGATATAATAATACACGTATGATAATATTAAAAACTAACTTGGGAACCCAGCGTGGACCAGGGGAGTCATAGTTAGTTTCACCGTTTACACGCCCCTTGTATATTACAATTTTATCTATTTTTCCTGATCAAAGTAGACCCTTACAACCTAGACTCTCAAAACCAAGCTAAGAACATTCCCGTGGCTGTCCCGAGTTCCTCAATTAATAGTCGAGGCAAATCGGTCCAGGGGTTCCAGAGTTATGATCGGACAAACAAACAGACAGACACACAGATAAACAGAGATTACAACTTTATATATATAGATGTGTTTTAGACTTGATTTTACTGAAAGAGAACTTGAGTTTATGACCCTGGAGATGAAGGATAAAATCTGCGCTATTGTTGAGGATGTCGAGTGGAAGGTAGGACGTAGGTTTAATCGGAGGGAGGAAGATAAGTTCTAAGGGAAGGGAGTCGCCCTTAAAGACAAGTACTAGGGGAAGGGGGTCTCACCCAAATATAAGTTCCAGGAGAAGGGTATCAACCTCAAAGATAAATTCTAGTGGAAGGGGGTCTCACTCAAAGATAAGTTCTAGAGGAACCCCCTAAAAAGATAAGGACTAGAGGAAGGGAGTCACCCTCAAAGATAAGTTCTAGGGTAAGGGGTTGTTTCTACTAACATTTGCACTACAATTTTAATTTAGTTCAATAACCAAAGAAAAGTTAAGTTAAGTGTGACTTATGATGTTTGCCCCTATCACAAAAGAGCTAAACACTACTTTTTTTTGAACAAATCGCTTTTGAGGGAGGATTTAATTTCTGAATCACCCTTANAGTCAGGTAGGTTAATTTATCCCTTCCATCCTGATCCTCTGGTTGTAAACGTTTATAAATCTAAACTAAACCACTATGTAGAGTCAGGTAGGTTAATTTATCCCTTCCATCCTGATCCTCTGGTTGTAAACGTTTATAAATCTAAACTAAACCACTATGTAGAGTCAGGTAGGTTAATTTATCCCTTCCATCCTGATCCTCTGGTTGTAAACGTTTATAAATCTAAACTAAACCATTATGTAGAGTCAGGTAGGCAAATTTACAGGGATGAATATTTTGATGGGGAATCTACACTGTTTGTGCATGATGGATGCTTACTGTTCTCAGATGAACACATTTTCCATTTTATGCCTGAAAAATTAAATAATAAAAGTATTTAAAAGTATAAACCCAAAACATCCGACAGTCGCTACGGTTGGTATGAGAGTGTACCTCCTCTGCTCCTCTCAGTGTCGCGCATACTCGTCCGCTGTTTTTGCGCTCGGTCTGAGCACGGTTTTCAGTTCAAAGGTACCTGACAATTTAGATAGAACTCCACTATCTTAATTGCTGTACTATCCTGCATAGAGGAACTATATTTATTTTCGGTTAAAGGGACTATTAGCTTAATTTCAAGTGACCAGATGGCAATGCCTGATTTACAACGGTACCCTTGAAATCTTTGTCCGATAAAGTGCAAATTAGTTATGCTTGGTTTTTTATTTAAAATATTAATTTTTATTTATGGTTTTCTGCAAAATTTACTTGCACATTTCTTACATAAAAGAAACATTGTAGAATTTATCAGAGTTAAACTTTTGAGCGAGAGTAAATCGGGAATTGCAATCTTTGCATGGAGGATCACTTACACTTACACTTACACTTACACTTACCCTTACACTTACACTTACACTTACACTTACACTTACAGTCCCTTTAAGTTTGAAAAATAATTTCAAGATTGGCGTCTTGGTAAAAATGATATTTAAATGAATAAACATAAAAAGTCTTACAATTTGGAATTTGTAAAAATTTGTCGAACAAACTTTTGAAATAAACAATAATGTTTGATTACTGAACGAACGATGTTTTTGAAGGAATGATTTTGATCAACGGACGATTTTACTGAACAATCCTCTAGTGAGAAAACAAACGAAATAGATGGAAAATAAACGATAATTTTGAGAACAAACGAAATCAATGTTTTTTGAACGATTGAAAAAAGTGTGTTGTTCACAAATGATAAACGTACGAAATAAAAAAAAGGCCGAACGTATCCATCTCTACTTAAACTGGTTCTAGGCGTTGGTTCAAACTTGAAGAGCCGACTATCCTCCGATCTCTCCCAGAACATGGAGACACAGCAGAAGGAGATGATGGACAGGTGGGGAAATTTTTTAATAACCAGGCTTTCAGGGCGCTTCGCGGCAAACTTCTATTTCAATTTTGAACATTTTCTCGTTGTATTCATTGTAAAACAATAACAAAAACAGTTAGCGGATTTTATCAAAAAATTTCGCGAATTTTTTTAATTTAATGAAAATCGAATTTTGTTGAAGGCTAAACCCTTAAACCTTCTCTGGGTTCATTTGAGGTCCCACACAAAATTTGGGCCCTATCGGTTCAGCCGTTTTGGCGTTGTTTTAACACAAACAAAAAGACAGACAAATAAAGTATAAAGATAGATGCCATAGCGCTTCATATTACTAGTCATCCCAGTGTCATACGTCAGTTCATCTCCCCTTTTATGATCACCGTTTTATGCATCAAAAACAATGTTAAAACATTAAAAACTACAAAATTACATAACTAAATGCGTGTTTAATTCTAAAATGCATCATTAAGAGTATTATTAGTAAATGAATATAAGATAATAGAAAAATATTTAAAACCTGACCCAAATTTTCGTCAATTAAAATATTGAGAAAGAACCCCTAATTGTTGTCCTTTCATAATAATAATAATAATATTTGTAAATCTTTAGAATGACAGCTCTACTTCCACCTGAGAAACAAACGGTTAGTAAGCACCTTCAGGCATTTGTTGATAAACAATATTTTTCTTATTCTAAGAACTGAGTTCCCTCCACAAATGCTAATTTATTAATCATTATATCTTTACAACCTGATGTCGGAGACCTTCGTTATTTTGCTTACATAGTCAAAGTTTAAAATACCAATGTTTAATATGATCTGATTGCAAAGATATATGGATTAAAAAACCATAGTTGGAATCTCTAATCTTTTATCGAAAATTTATTTCCCCCCTCCCCTTCAAAAAAACAATTTATTATTATTAACGGCAATGCTTATTCCATATTGTATTAGCTTGAATGGACTGTAAGCGTAATTTCAAGTGAGGCCCTCCAAGCAAGGATGGTAATACCCGATTCACAAAGATACCCTTGAAACCTTTATATCTGATAATTTAATTCTGATAATTCCAATAAGTTTTCCTGCAGCGGAAATGCCTAGGTAACTTTTGAAAGTAAACAGTTTTCAAGCTTGTAAACATTGATATATAATTTATTACTAATTAGACAAAGCTCTGAAGGTTTACCATTGAAAATCGATTGCAATCATTGCATGGAGGGTCACTTTGCCTTTAATGAACAATGGCTGATATAGTAAAATGTATATTTGAACAGGTTTCCCGGAATATTCTGCCACGTCGCGAGGCATTCGAGGTTCTTTATCATCTCAACTGTGAGAACCTGTGCGCAGACTTCCAGGAAGATTTAAGGTAAGTCTTGCGCGCTCGTGCGTATGTTTCTTCTTCTGTAATTTTTCCGTTTAGTGTTCATCTGAAGTGAATAAAGATAACATTGAATTGAGATCTTAAGACTCTTATCAATAAATTATGGTATTCGTATTTAAAAGTTATGTTTCACTTTCTTTATTTCAAAGTGAAGTTTCTTATGTAAAAAAGTTATTTTCCACTTTTTGAGGTTTAAAAGTTATGTACACGACGTTAAAAAATAATGTTCCTCTTGTTAAAGTTTAAAAGTTACGTTTCTTATGTTTAATAGTATTTTATTTTAAAATTCAGCAGTGTTTTTTTTCAGTTTCCGGTTTTCTCTTGGATTTAGTTCTGTTCTAAACCGGTTCCTGTCGAGTAAACAAACAAAGAGGACTCCCAGGAGTCCGGGGGGAATACCTAGAGGACTCCCACTCCTTACTCCAGGTAAGCAATCAAGAAGGACTCCTAGGAGTCCGGGGGAATACCTAGAGAACTCCTATTCCATACTCCAGGTAAACAAACAAGAAGGACTCCCAGGAGTCCGGGGGGAATACTTAGAGGACTCCTACTCCATACTTCAGGTAAACAAACAAGAAGGACTCCCAGGAGTCAGGGGGGAATACCAGAGGACTCCCACTTCTTACTCCAGGTAAACAAACAAGAAGCTCCTATGAGTCCGGAGGGAATACCTAAAAGACTCCAACTTTTTACTCCATGTTAACTCACAAGGAGGACTCCTAATAGTCCGGGGGGAATACCAAGAAGACTCCCACTCCTTACTCCAGGTAAGCAATCAAGAAGGACTCCTCGGGGGAATACCTAGAGAACTCCTACTCCATACCCCAGGTAAAAAACATGTAGGACTCCCAGGAGTCCGGGGGGAATCCTAGAGGACTCCCACTCCTTACTGCAGGTAAACAAACAAGAAGGACTCCCAGGTGTCCCGGGGGAATACCTCGAGGACTCTCGCTTCTTACTCCAGGTAAACATGAAGAAGGACTCCTAGGAGTCCGGGGGGAATACCTAAAAGACTCCAACTTTTTACTCCAGGTAAACTCACAAGGAGGACTCCTAGGAGTCCGGGGGTAATACCTAAAGGACTCCTACTTCTTAATCCAGGGGTCGGGGGTACAAACAAGGAAGACTCCCAGGAGTCCAGGGGGATACCTAAAGGACTCCCACTTCTTACTCTAGGTAAAAAGGATAAAGGGAATGTTCACCTATTCATGGGCGTACTCAGGAATTTGTTCAGGGTGGCTTCAATTTGTTTCTTACCGTTGGGGCCTAAACCCCCTGAAAACCAGACTACCTCAGGCGTGAGGAATACACGTGTCATTAGGGGGAGTGCTGATGGGTGGGATTGCCTTGGGCCAGGAACAACCCCAGCGATTCTCTTTAAATAAATAATAAAAAAAAATTTACTGATCCAGGGGTGCTTGAGCCCCAATATACACTCCCCTATTGTACGCCCTTATTTGAAAAAAATCGTACTTTTATTTCTAGAATCACAAATAAAGTGCATATTCGAGGGTAAAGATGGACATTGGTGTGGTTTTTAGCCCAAAAGATTGATATTATGAGTATTTGGGAATAGTTCTAAATATCCCTTGAAGCACATTTGAGGTTGGAACTTTTGAATTGTTAAACCCTTCAGAAATCCAAAATCCAAAATTTTTGGTGTCGCACAGATTAAGTTCATTCATTTTGCATATCTGTGAAGGTCCGACCAATCAGCAACAACTAAAAATCTGCTCTCCGTCGCAAAAATTTGAGCTGGCTTTTTTTAACGGATTAAACACTTAAAATTACTTCAAATCCAAAGTTTTAGGCTATAAATGTGTTATAGATGATCGGTGTCAAAAGAAAGGTTTCGACTTATGGTTGAAATATTATCGAACGCAAAAGTATATATTCAATTTTACTTCTTAATATATTCTACAAATTTATCTATTATAGACACCCCATCCAATGAGTTCTTTGTTCCCCAGGATGATTGGTCTTTGTTAAGCAAACTAGCAATAGCTTCTATATCCTCACAGGTATTTACACTGTTTATATACACCATGTACTTTACACCATTACCGTACTAAAAAGGAACTGTCAAGTCTTCATATTTGAACTTTTATTGTAAAATATATTGCATAAAAATATACGAAGGTATTCATCATTCAATATCTTAATTATAATAAAAGTTCAATGTTAACAGTTTGAATCAGGTTCAAATTTGATACTGCAAATGCTAGATTTCTCTTCAGGGTCTGATGAAAAACTTTTAATATAAATTTTTTATCACAGAAATGTCGGATAGAAGTAAGACTGGTTCAGCCTAATTTCAATTGTGGTTTCTCTACATAAGAATTAAAAACGACATCTTCCACATTATTGACTAAATAAAGGTTTCAATGGTTGTGAATTGGTCATTGTCATCTTTGCATGTTGGGTCACTTGAAATTATGCTTATGCTTTAAATATCTATTTTAGGACTTTTAGTATTTGTTTTTAAGTTAATATCTCTACTATTCAGGGTACAATGGGTGGACTTCTTGTTAATATCTCTACTATTCAGGGTACAATGGGTGGACTTCTTGTTAATATCTCTACTATTCAGGGTACAATGGGTGGACTCCTTGTTAATATCTCTACTATTCAGGGTACAATGGGTGGACTACTTGTTTTTATCTCTACTATTCAGGGTACAATGGGTGGACTTCTTGTCGGTGGTCTTCTGTTCAAAACTGTTGGCTGGAGGGTGCTAGCTGTTACAGGTACATTAACATGAAATAAGATTTATCATGATTTTAGGCAGTGTATAGGATTCGGATCCATTGAATCCACAACATTTTGGTTTGTAAATCTGGATCTGCATAAATATGTTGACAACAAATGGAGGCTGCATGCAAAATTTGAAAAAAATTGAAAAAATGTGTCGAATTTTTAATTATATTTATTTATTTATTTTATATATATATATATAGGCCTGGTGTATGGTACAGTGTACGCCTATGAGAGGATGACCTGGACCAACCAGGCGAGGATGAGGTTAGAAACATTTATTATATATTCTTAAAGGGACTGTAGACGTTATTTCAACTGACTCTCCAATTATAGAGAAGCATGTCCGATTTAGAACAGTACCCTTAAAAGTATTTTTTACATTAGATGAGACATCAACCATTTTATATTCTTAATTTTTAATATTTAAAACTTACTTGCGCATTTCTGCTTCGGAAATTAAATCAAGGAAATATAACTATTTTTAAGCTAGACCAACGTACCTTCCACATTATTGATCAGGTTTAAAGGGTATCGCCGGGAACCGGGTATTCCCCTATTCTAATGGAAAGTCGCCTGAAATTACAGCGACAATCGCTTTCGCAAATCATTCCCTGCCTCTTCAAAAATCCAGTTTCATCAATTATTTTAAAAAGTTTTTTGTAAAGCCGTCAGTTTTTTGTGAAACGAAAAGCTTGTAATTTCAGGAAAATAAATCTAACTAAAAAAATTTTAAAAATCTGAGTTTGTTAAAAAATTTAATTTTAGGTTGTTTAAGAAACAGTACGTGGAACACGCCGCCAGGCAACTCAAGTAGGATTTTTTTATCATTAATATTATCATAATTTTTATTGTTATCATCGTTATCATTATCAGCATCAGCTTCATTATCGTTATCATTATCATTATTATCATCATTATCATCATTGCTATAATTATCATCATCGTTATCATCGTTATCATCAATATCATCATTATCATAAATATCATCATTTTCATGATTTTCATAATTTTCATAACTTTCTTAATTTTCATCATTTTCGTCATTATTATTATCATCATCATTATTTTCATAAATTTCAACATTATCATCATTATTATTGGTATCATCAACATCATGATTATTTCATTATCATCATTATCATCATTATCATCATCGTTATCATCATCATCATCATCATTTTCATCATCATTTTCATCATCATTTTCATCATTTTCATCATTTTCATCATTTTCACCCTTTTCATCATTTTTATCATTTTCATCCTTATCACAAGTATTTCAGTTTATTAATGCAAGTGAACTCTTTTTCTTATCAAGTAACCGGAGACCTTAATACTTACTTACACTGTTGATTTGTAGTTTACATGGTAATTATGTACTTAGAGCTCACCGATCAAAACAAATGTTCTATAAAGTTAATAAATAGATTAAATTAATTCATACCTGCAAGTCGTTCTAAAAAACGGTCAGTCAGAAGGGTTTGAATGTCGTCCTTGATTTCTCACAGTTCAGTTTTATGCCCAAACCAGGAAAACTCACTGTGCTTACCATCCTTAGCATCCTTATTATAGGAGGATAGTAGATATGACGAGCTCTAACTGTTCCCATCAGGTTCAGCAGGAACTCTCATCAACCTTTGCCAGACTCTGTCATATGGTAATAATATATCTATACATAAAAGAGTAATACAGGGGTGTATATTTTCCTGAAATATCATTCCCCCCTCGTTTAAATTTTTGTTTCATATAGTAGGTATGGGTTTTAGGAAATTTTTCGTTTAATTGGGGAAAAGAAATGAAGTTTTGGGTAAAAGTTGCAAAGAGGATAAAAAAACTTTCCAAAATTTTATTATTTATTATTTATTATTATTTAATTCCAAATTTAATTTAATTTTTTTTCTTCAGGTTACTGGAAAATCTAAAGTTCTAAGGAATGAATCTTCGTTCCTTGCCAACAAGCTGGATATGTTCAAGAACTCGTTCCTCAACTCCATCTAGTTCTAACAGTTCATACTTCCAATGATTCTTTTGTTCCTTCGGTCTTCAACGGAGTTAAAAAAACTGTCTCGGACGGAGCTTAGAGTGACCATCATTGACGATGCTTTAAGCAACAGTCTTTGACGGAGCTTAAATCACAGTCTTTGACGGAGCTTAAAGCAACAGTTTTGACGGAGCTTAAAGCAACAGTCATCGACAGAGCTTGAAGCAATAGTCTTTGACGGAGCTTGAAGCAACCGTCTTTTACGTAGCCTGAAGCAATAGTCTTTGACGGAGCTTGAAGCAACAGTCTCTGACGGAGCTTGAAGCAACATTCTCAGACGGAGCTTGAAGCCTTAAAATATAGTCATTTGAACTGTAGTCTTAACAGTAGTCACAATTTTTCTCGCAGGAGCTTTAGAAACTATATAAATATTTAGATATCGATCCTAGAGAACTGGGATAAACTTAAAACTATGGAACGTTTTATGAATTTTTTCCATTTTTCTTTATCCTGTCTCCTCTTGGACGCTAATTATCTTATTAAATTAGTTGTATCTAAATGAATAAACTTCTTGGAAGTTTTCAAACAATATTTATATTTAACCTCTGCAATTATTAATTGTAAAAGCCATATTTAAGCACTTGTTCAGTTTTAAAATCAATAATTGTTAGTTGTTTAAAAATGGGCGCATGTTGAAAGTCTGCCGTCAATCAGATTGATAATAAATTATTTTGTTATTTAAACTTTCTTTTAGACTACAGTCATCTTCGTTTATATCATTACAATGAAGACGACTTTCTTTTTCAATTTATGATTTCTACCAAGCTTGATCAAGCAGCATGGTTGCATATAAACATGGAAACAAAGCTTCTCTTTGTTTACTTGTAAACTTGTAATTTGAGAAAAGCTTGTTATAAATCAAAACTTAAACAGAAAAGTCGTCTTAATTGTCTTGATAAAAACGCCGACCACTGTATATTGCTCACAAAAGGTCTAACAGTTATGTGAAATCATCTCCAATAACCAAAAGTGTTTCTTTAAAATTAAAATGGCCGTCGCAAATAGGGTTCTAATGAAAATAAAATTGTATAAGTGAAAATGATTACTTGGAAAACGTTTGATTTGCTGAAACTGGCTTTAGTAGAGTAAATAGTTTTTTTCCGAAACTATTAAAATTTTCAACATTTTTTAACTCTGTTCATGAATTTGAGCCCGAGTTTTCAGAACGATTCTGTTGATAAAAAATAACCAGTTCATTACATCTATTTACCTGTATGATTTTGTAAACTTTTCATTTTCACTTCTACTTGTGATTTTTCCCTCTAATTATCATTTAAACCCATTTTTAATTTTAGTGAAAATTCCATTTTGAAAACTTCTAGAAAAGAACTATTTTGGTTCTTGAAAATGATTTTAGAATATTTACCCAATTATTGCTCACAAAAAATTTGACTTTGAAGATACTGTAGTGTACTGTAGTGTACTTTACAGTGCTGTACTATACTTTACTGTACTATGCTGTACTGTACTGTACTTTACTGTACTGTACTGTACTGTACCGCACCGTACCATACTGTACTGTACTGAATTTTCCAATCTTGTAACTAGCAATAATGGTTGTCACTTGTCATACCTGCTGGTCTGCGCGGCTATCTTTCCCAAATCAAATTTCATTTCTTTGTAGACAGGCGCGTACACAGGATTTTAGTCAGGGGGGAATTTGAATTGTTTTGTTCAAAAGTCAATAAACACCATAAAAATACACCAAAAAGACTTCATTTTTGGGTGGTTACTAACCTTATAGAGTCTATAAATTATTCCTTTGCTCGAATAACTAACTATTTAACTTTATAAATTTATCAGTTAACTCCATCACAGCTAACTAAGGCAATAATCACAGCATCATTAAACAAATTATATTTTTACTAATAAACGAGATTTCTTCTGTTCTTCCGAATTCGAAAATTACCTTTTTTTCTTTTAAAAGAGATGGCTATCTAATTTAGTTTGAAGTATCTTAAAATTTTGTATTAACAGTGAATTTAGAGAAAACCATAGTCTTTGTCATTGTCAGGTGTTACTTTTTAAAATTTGTTTCGTTTTAATTTTGTATTCCCCCCCCCCCTGTGTACGCGCCTGTTTGTAGACAAAAGTTAAGTAAAAACTTCCGATGTATAATATTCAAAGAGTTATTGGTCGTTAATTAACGAACTGGTGGTGTCCCTCCCTCCTTCTATAGAGGACATGTCTGATTCACAACGGTAGCTCTGATTATTGGTTACAGAGTAAATTGTGTTTATCTCTAAAATTGTGTTCAATTTATCGGAAAACTGAAGTGTACTTTGTGAATAGTTTTGTCCAACGCCACGCGTGAAATTTTGTTTTTGTTTTGTTTTAAAATGTATCCAAAGAGAAAATATTCACAAGCTTGAAAATTAGAAGCGCCCTAAAAGTCAAGTTTTTAAAATAAAACAGAAGGTTTTCAATTATAGCAAGAGTCTGCATTAGGGTTTCCAGTCGTAATTACGCGAAACACTTTCTTTCACTTACGGAGGAGCATTACGCGAAATAACGTGCTAATTACGTATACGAAAGAAAGTCTAGTTTCGCGTAATTAAGGTGAAATTACGTAATACGAAACCATTCTGTTATGTAAAGTACATATTAATTCTCCGAAATGAATATATAGCGGGAAAGTATGTGAAAGGTGAATTTTCGTGAATTATAGCCGCGAAATATTTATAAAACTATATAATTTTATTTTGAGTGATCAAAAACAAACTAGAAATAGTAAAAATCACAGCAAAAATATTTTCCCATGCATGTTACCCATTACAATAACATTTATTGTTTTTTTTTTTCAATTTTACTCATTTTTTTTAATAATAGGTTGATAAACTTACTTTATCACCCAACAATGAGAAATATTAGATGCTAAATATGAAATCTTAATAGTAGGGTGATAAAGTTACTTTTTCGTCCTGTTGAAGGGCAATAAAGTCACTTTATCGCCCAACAGCGGCCAATATTGGGTGTGACAAATTCCCTAAAAATTGAATAAAAATTATAAAATCCCAAAAATATTTTACACTAAATATAATCATTCTCACAAAAATATATATAATTGTAAACAAAAACGATTTAATTTTTAGATAAACATGGTGATATATTTATAATTTATTTACATATATTTCGTAAAAATCTAGGCTGAACATTATGCAATGTAAGATTTAACATAATAATAAAGATCTGATTAATATCAATAACTAACTGCATAAAGTTCAAAATGGCCTAAAAACATGCAAACACACTTGTTCCACTGCTCTACTTTATAGATTTAAGATTAATATTCAATCTTTTATTATTCAGGAGAATACTTGGCTCAATTAATTTGATCATCTGCAATCTTAACCAAAACCAATGAGAATCAAGAAGAGTAAATATGAATATCCATGTTCTCGATGTGACTGTGTTGCATCTCAAGCAGGTAACCTGAAGATTCATGTTGAATGTAAACACTCAGAATTGAAATATCCTTGTTCTGAATGTTAATTTTTTTGAAACTACAGCAGCAAGAAATCTGAGGAGACATGTTGAAAATAAACACAAAGAAATGAGCTAAACATGCTCACAATGTAAGCATGCTGCAACTAGTGCAAGTGATCTAAAAACAAAAATTGAAAATGCATGAAGGAGTGAGATATCCTGGCCCTGAATGTGAGTATTTTGCCAGTCGAACAAAACAACTGAAGATTCACATTGAAAAAAATTCAAACTCAAATTCACATTCCAATTTAAATTTATTCAAATTTTGTAAAAAGGAGCCGTAAAAAGATGTCAATATAGAGAATTTCTAAGGAGTAAAATCATAAATCCGGAAACAAGAAGTATAGTTAAGAGGGAATTAATGGCAAATCTTACAGAAAGGATGGTTATATATAAATTTTACTAGATTTAAATATTGAATTGTTATTTCTGTTATTATGATTATTCTGTAAATACAGTTGACAGATTCATATGATAAACACTTTATCTAAAATAAAGAGTTGACCGAAAATTTATGCTTGCAGTTAAACAATTTTTTTTTATTATTTTCATTTGTTCTTCCTTCCTTTTTTGTCCAAAATTGCAAACTTCATGAATAAACAGATGTCTTAATAATATTTTAAAAATGCTCATTATTAACATCTTACAGCTTGTACAGGGTGTCCCAATAAACATGGGAACAATATGACCACTTCTATGTCGTCTTTATTCCAAGCAGGATTATTTCGTAAATATGATTTTTTAGTAACTGCAGTTAAACATTTAACACTGAAAACTGCTAGTCTCGGGATTTCAACAGAGATTTTAGATTTCAACAGGGATTTTAGAAAATTTGTCCACATTCAAGTTAAGTAAAAATCAACAATACTGATAAAACGTTTAATATCTCCGTCAATTTTAAAGATATAAAGAAGGTTGACCACATTTTGGAAAGCTTGTTAGACGTTTAATTTTTAAGTCATTTATCAATTATCATAACATAAAGATGATATTCAAGTCATCTCTCAATTCTCATGATTATTGGGACACCCTAAAGTATATTTAAATTTATCTAAATGTCGTTTTTCATCATATAACTGAAGGATCTAAATGTCGTCTTTCATCATGGATCAGCTATTACTGGCATTTTTTAATGATCAGCTGATCATATATGTTTTAAATACTTTTTTAGCTTTATGATGATTTAGATCTAGATGTTTCTTTTCAGACTTTGTAAAAGTTTTTTTTTAAAGTAATTCCCCCCAAAATGACCTAACTTCTTGGAGTACAAATTATTTTAAAAGAGGGGGGGGATTTTTAAGAAAATATACACCCCTGTGGTTTTTCCCAATTAAATATTTCCTCTTTCTGCCAACACTCTCCATTACGCTATTTTCTATTTTATGTAATTTTTACACAAACAAACTTTATAAGTAAAAATAGTTTATGTTTATCTATAATCCAGAAAAAAACCTGGAAAATGAAATGAATTTTTTTTAATGAATTTATTATATTGAATTCGAAATTATACAGGTAATTACAAAAAAAAATAGTGTAAAATCAAAATACAAATCATTTGCAATGCAAGAGGTATAAAAATACAATCAAAACCTACCTACAAATGTGGTTGTTTCCTTTTGAGATGAAACATAAGATGCATGCACTGATACACTCTTGTTGGAACTGATGTGAGAATTTTTATTAAAACTTGAATTTTTATTCACACATTTAAAAATTTCCAACTCATACAACCTATGAATAGTTTAATTTTATCTAAAAGTTAACATCAATTACCAATGTGTTTGGTGTGATATGCTTATATGATAAGTTTTGATTTGATATATTTAGTGAACAAATTTTTTGTGGTACTCCACAGGTTTTTCTCGAATATTAATATTCTAATATTTCAGTTTGTTAATAATGTTCACATAATTCATAAATCAAATTTATCAATTTATGTCGTCTTTTTCAGGAGAACACGTGGATCAGAAATTTGATCCTCTGCAATCTGAACCAAAGAAATTCAAGAGGGGTAATGATGGATATCCATGTAATGATTGTGAGTTCGTAGCTTCAAGAGCTGATCATTTGAAGAGACATGTTGAAAATAAGCACATAAGAATAAGATATGCTTGTGATGAATGTGAGTATGTTGCAACGAGAGCAGATAATTTGAAGGTTCATGTTGAAAATAAACATGACGGAGTGAAGTATCCTTGCTCTTACTGTGAGTATGCTGCGACTACAGCAAGTAATCTAAAGATTCATGCTGAAAGTAAACACGAAGAATTGAGATATCCATGTCCTAAATGTAAGTATGCTGCGACTACAGCAAATAACCTGAAGATTCATGTTGAAAGTAAACACGAAGGAGTTAGATTAGGAGTTAGTTAGGAGATAGATGTGCTCATTGTGAACATGCCTCTACTACAGCAGGTAGCCTGAAGATTCATGTTAAAAACAAACATGAAGGAGTAAGATATCCTTGTTGTCATTGTAAGTATACCGCAACTACAACAAGTTACCTGAAGAGACATGTTGAAAGTAAACATGAGGGAGTAAGATATCCTTGTTCTCAATGTAAGTATGCGGCAACTACAGCGAATTACCTGAAGATTCATGTTGATGTTAAACATGAAGGAGTAAGATATCCTTGCTCTCAATGTGAGTATGCTGCAACTACAGCAAGTAGCCTGAAGATTCATGTTGAAAAAAAACATGAGGGAGTAAGATATCCTTGCTCTCAATGTGAGTATGCCGCAACTACAGCAAGTTGCCTGAAGAGACATGTGGAAAGTAAACATGAAGGAGTGAGATATTCTTGTTCTCAATGTGAGTATGTTGCAACTCAACAAAGTGTCCTGAAAATTTATGTTGAAAATAAACATGAAGGAGTAAGATATCCTTGCTCTCAATGTGAGTATGCCGCAACTACAGCAAGTTACCTGAAGAGACATGTTGAAAGTAAACATGAAGGAGTAAGATATTCTTGTCCTAAATGTAAATATGCTGCAACTCAGAAAGAATCTCTGGAAAAACATTTAGAAAATAAACATAATTGAGTTCAGATATTTCTGTTCTGATAATGCTGCCAAGGAATTGCATACAAATTTACCATGACTGGGGGCTATCAAACTTTAATTTTTTTGGTTTTGAATTTGTGGAAAATTATGTCACATAATTAAAATTTTCTAATCTTAATGTCACAATTGTAAGTTATTTTTGATTTTAATCGTTTGAATTTTTTGTTTCATTTTGAAAACTTATTTTAAATAAATTTTATAGTTGTTTGTGTATTATCTATAATTTGGTGGTATAAACAAAATCGCTTAATTCTCAGAAATTAGTAAGTTCAAAAATCTCTGTTCTGATAATGCTGCCAAAGAATTGCATAAAAATTTACATTGACTGGGGGCTATCATCAAACATTTATTTCTTTTGTTTTGAATTTGTGGTTCAGACAGAATAGACATGTTATCATTTTAATGAAGGAAATGGTGTCACATATGTTTATTTATTTTTCAGATAGAATGGCAGAGATTATGAAGAAAGAAGTATATGTCAAGGAATCTGAGATAACCTCAACTGTAGAGGATAAATGTTTTAATATACCTGAAGAAGATATAAAGCTGGAAAATACAGATATAAAAGGTAATCTTGATAAGTTTACTATTCTTAAAGCATAGAAGCGCTTCGTGTTTTTAGATGGGGGAGGGGGTTGTGAGGTGTGTATGTTTAGTGTTTACATAGTGATGATAAAATATTTGAAACTTTTACTAAGCCTTGAAAATTTATCTTCCCAATATATGACTACTTCTATGTCGTCTTTATTCCAAGCAGGATTATTTCGTAAATATGATTTTTTAGTAACTGCAGTTAAACATTTAACACTGAAAACTACTAGTCTTGGGATTTTAACAGAGTTTTTAGGAAATTTGTCCACATTCAAGTTTAGTAAAAATCAACAAAACTGTTAAAACGTTTAATATCTCTGTCAATTTTAAAGATATAAAGAAGATTGACCACATTTTGGAAAGCTTGTTAGACGTTTAATTTTTAAGTCATTTATCAATTATCAGAACATAAAGACGATATTCAAGTCATCTCTCAATTCTCATGATTATTGGGACACCCCAAAGTATAATAAGATTTATCTAAATGTCGTCTTTCATCATGGATCAGCTGTTACTGGCATTTTTTCATGATCAGCTGATCATGAAATCTAGGTCGGAATATACGCGGCATACATATATGTTATCTTTATAAATACTTTTTTAGCTTTATGATACTTTAGATCTAGATGTTTCTTTTCAGACTTTGTAAAAGTTTTTTTTAAAAGTTGAATCTATTTTTCAGATAAAATGGCAGAAACTACTATGGAAGAATTAAATATAGAAAAGTTTGAGATAAAAGTCCCCAAAGAAGTTTGGCGCGGAGAGATTAACCTTCGGAACAAGTTTAATAACCGCTTTCCCGCCTCCCTGAGTTTGCACGAGCCTGGACTGAGGTGCAACTAAGGGGGTGAGAGGTTTCGTGACGTGCGGGGGTACTTGCCAGGCTCTCTTAATTGTGTTGACAATCCCTTTATTGAGATACTTGCAGATCCTAAGATACGGTCCCACAGGATAGCGTGGGATAGAATTGTCGGCGGCGACTAGATTCTCAACAACTTCCTCAGTAACACTACCCCTTTCATCCCTTGGCAGACTTGACTTAACCCCTTCAAAGCTCTCAATATCAGACCGGGGTTCAGGACAAGTAGAAGTTGATTGTAAGTTCCGTATACCTAATTCACAACAGTACCTTTAAAACTTTTATTTATCAGTTCACTAAAGTGCCTTTTAAAACCTTTATTTATCGATTCACAACAGCAATAAAATATAATCTCCAAATCCTGCAAAACCTGCTAAACCTAGAGTTTTCAAATCCTACTAAACCTGCTAAACCTAGAGTTTCCAAATCCTACTAAACCTAGAGTTTCCAAATCCTACTAAACCTGCTAAACCTAGAGTTTCCAAATCCTACTAAACCTGCTAAACCTAGAGTATGAATTTTTATTCACACATTAAAAAATTTTCAACTCATACAACCTATGAATAGTTTAATTTTATCTAATAGTTAATATCAATTACCAATGTGTTTGGTTTTATATGCTTATGATAAGTTTTGATTTGATATATTTAGTGAACAAATTTTTTGTGGTACTCCACAGGTTTTTCTCAAATATTAATAGTCTAATATTTCAGTTTGTTAATAATGTTCACAAAATTCATAAATCAAATTTATCAATTTATGTCGTCTTTTTCAGGAGTACACGTGGATCAGAAATTTGATCCTCTGCAATCTGAACCAAAGAAATTCAAGAGGGGTAATGATGGATATCCATGTAATGAATGTGAGTACGTAGCTTCACGAGCTGATCATTTAAAGAGACATGTTGAAAATAAGCACAAAAGAATAAGATATGCTTGTGATAAATGTGAGTACGTAGCTTCACGAGCTGATCATTTAAAAAGAAATGTTGAAAATAAGCACATAAGAATAAGATATGCTTCTGATGAATGGGAGTATGTTGCTACCAGAGCAGACAATTTAAAGGTTCATGTTGAAAGTAAACATGGAGGAGGGAGATATCCTTGTTCTCAATGTAAGTATGCTGCGACTACAGCAAGTAATCTGAAGAGACATGTTGAAAATAAACATGAAGGAGTAAGATATCCTTGTTCTCACTGTGAGTATGTTGCAACTCAGCAAAGTAACCTGAAAATTCATGTTGAAAATAAACATGAAGGGGTAAGATATCCTTGTTCTCAATGTAAGTATGCTGCAACTACAGCAGGTTACCTGAAGATTCATTTAAAAAATAAACACGAAGGAGTGAGATATCCTTGTTCTCAATGTGAGTATGCCGCAACTGAAGCAAGTAAGCTGAAGAGACATGTTGAAAGTAAACATGAAGGAGTAAGATATCCTTGTCCTGAATGTAAATATGCTGCAACTCAGAAAGGAGCTCTGAAAAAACATTTAGAAAATAAACATAATTGAGTTCAGATATCTCTGTTCTAATAATGCTGCCAAGGAATTGCATACAAATTTACCATGACTGGGGGCTATCAAACTATAATTTTTTTTTGGTTTTGAATTTGTGGAAACTTATGTCACATAATTAAAATTTTCTAATGTTAATGTCACAATTGTAAGTTATTTTTGATTTTAATCGTTTGATTTTTTTGTTTCATTTTGAAAACTTATTTTAAATAAATTTTATAGTTGTTTGTGTATTATCTATAACAAAATCGCTTAATTCTTAGAAATTAATGAGTTCAGTTATCTCTGTTCTGATAATGCTGCCAAAGAATTGCATAAAAATTTACCATGACTGGGGGCTATCATCAAACATTTATTTCTTTAGTTTTGAATTTGTGGTTCAGACAGAATAGACATGTTATCATTTTAATGAAGGAAATGGTATCAAATTCGAAAATTGTTTTTGACACATGATCCGATTTGAGGAATGAAATAAACACAAACAGACATGAGCGGCTTAGTCCAAAGAGCTTTAGTCTATATTGTATCAATATTTAAATTCTGTGCATAAATTAAATAACCAAAAACAGATGAGCAAGTCGATTCACAAAGTTTTAGTCTATATTGTTGACCAAATTCGAGAATTGTTAGAGACACACAAACAGGTTTGAAAAGGGAACTAAAAGAAAGCAGACCAGAGCCGCTTCCTTCGAAAAATTTTAGACTATATTTAATTTTCTCATTGTAAATTTGGTCAACTAACATAATACAATGAATAGTTTTGTTTTGTATAATTTTACTTATTCTTATAACCAGATATTGAGTAGTGCTACAAAAAACAACAATTTTCTCATTGTAAATTTGGTGAACTAACATAATACAAAGAATAGTTTTGTTTTGTATAATTTCACTTATTCTTAAAACCTGATATTGAGCAGTGCTACAATGAACAACAATTTTCGTGAATTATAGTCGCGAAATATTTATAAAACTATATAATTTTATTTTGATTGATCAGAAACAAACTAGAAAAAGTAAAAATCACAGCAAAAATAATTCTCCCACGCATGAGACCCATAACAATAACACTTATAGTTTTATTCAATTTTACTCATTTTATTTAATAATAAGTTACTTTATCACCTAACAATGGGAAATATTAGGTGCTAAATATGAAATTTTAATTGTAGGGTGATAAAGGTACTTTTCCGTCCTGTTGAAGGGCAATAAAGTAACTTTATCGCCCTACAGCGGCAATATTAGGTGTGACAAATTCCCTAAAAGTTGAATGAAAATTATAAAATTCGATAAAATTCGAACAAGTATAAAAGGTGCATAAAAATATATAAGTTCAAAACGAGCCAAGTATTTTAGGACAATTTAACAAGCATAAAAGATGCATAAAAAAAATAAGTTTAAAAACTAGCCCAGTTTATAAGGAAAATTTCACAAGTACAAAAGATGCATAAAAATATTAAGTTGAAAACAAGAAGATTATAGAGAGGGAGGGTTTAGGGGAATATAAATATATAGAGAAACCTGGTTGGAAGAGTAGTAGTAGTTCTGCCTGTAGATCCCAGACTGAATCTACTATGAAAAGGTGGCCTTTTTATACGGCCGGGTCTTGCATAATGATGATGAAAAACTAGGACATATTTCATGGCTTGTAAGGGAAAGAATGTTCTAGAATATGTATATTGCCCAATGATGATAAAAATATAGGGCTTGAGAAGATAGAAATTGTAAAAATGAACTCAATTTATAATTCAGAGATTATAAAGATAAAAGAGGAGGGGAGGGGAGAAAACATGTACAATGAATACAAAACATATATTTCTAAATAAAATTTTCTTGATTCTTGATTGTCCAGAGTAACAAAAGGAAATGATCTCCATCGATGCTGAATATCTCATGAGAATCCTCTCACCTCTAGTAGGAGCCAAACAGTTATTTTGATAGAAAATATCGTTAGAATTTATAATCTTGGAGATTATAACATACTGTCCCAGCTAACAGGAGAATTTGCCTTGATGATCACTTTAAATAAGATAATACTGCAGACAGATATTGTTGAGTGGAAGAAAATGAACAGAATCTGATCCAATTGAAGGGAGGCAGAGAGTCGCAACTTTTAAACTCAGAATTCTTGGTTGTTATGATTTGTCATTCTTCTTACTTCTAAAATAATGTCCTCCGAGGCTGATGACTCGAACTGTATTGTTGTAGTCTCCTGCGATGTCATGTCCATAGTCACTCTCTCCTAAAATATCTGTAAGTTTCCACTAATATATCTGGAAGTTTTTAATAAAATATCTGTGAGTTTTTACTAAAATAGAATATCAGAATAATTATTAGAATATTGTGAAACTGAAGTCTGAAGCTGAACACTTGCCACAAATTTAAGTTTATAATTCTTTTCAAACTGTGAACTATATTAAATTAAAAATTAAAGTTTGAAATATTAAAGTTATACACTAGGGGTGTTCATTTTTAAGGTCACTTTTGGTACAGAGATGCAAGGTCGCCAGAAAGTTGCAAAATTTTGCAAGATTTTCAAAAATAATTTTTAAAAAATTCTTGAAATTTTTTTTTCAGGGTGCGCCAATTAATTAAAAGTTTACCTTTTTTCGTTTTTTTTCACAAAAATTGTAATATGCCCATCCCTAATTTAATTATCAACATGCATATCAGTTATTATTGAGATAAACATGTCTAGAATACACACACACAAAATTAAAACCCTATCTTGACTGGAAAGGTGTGCGCCAATTGGTTTCTTGAACTACGCAAAAACAAAAAAATCAATCAATCAATCAATATTTTTCAACATTTTTGGCGCAAGTACTTCTAACCAAGGTAGGATGTTTTTTTTTGTATGAACAAATTAGACCATTTCAGATAATATATCTGGATAGTATCATCTTAACTTGTCGGGGGGGGATACTGTACTGTACCGTACTGTACTGTACCGTACTGTACTGTACCGTACTGTACTGTACTGTACTGTACTGAATTTTTCCAATCTTGTAACTAGCAATAATGGTTGTCACTTGTCATACCTGCTGGTCTGCGCGGCTATCTTTCCCAAATCAAATTTCATTTCTTTGTAGACAGGCGCGTACACAGGATTATAGTCAGGGGGGAATTGGAATTGTTTTGTTCAAAAGTCAATAAACACCATAAAAATACACCAAAAAGACTTCATTTCTGGGTGTTACTAACCTTATAGAGTCTAAAAATTATTCCTTTGCTTGAATAACTAACTTTTTAACTTTATAAATTTATCAGTTAACTCCATCACAGCTAACTAAGGCAATAATCACAGCATCATTAAACAAATTATATTTTTACTAATAAACGAGATTTCTCCTGTTCTTCCGAATTCGAAAATTACCTTTTTTTCTTTTAAAAGAGATTGCTATCTAATTTAGTTTGAAGTATCTTAAAATTTTGTATTAACAGGGAATTCCCTCCCTCCTTCTATAGAGGACATGTCTGATTCACAACGGTAGCTCTGATTATTGGTTCCAGAGTAAATTGTGTTTTTATCTCTAAAATCGTGTTCAATTTATCGGAAAACTGAAGTGTACTTTGTGAATAGTTTTTGTCCAACCCCACGCGTGAAATTTTGTTTTTGTTTTGTTTTACAATGTATCCAAAGAGAAAATATTCACAAGCTTGAAAATTAGAAGCGCCCTAAAAGTCAAGTTTTTCAAATAAAACAGAAGGTTTTCAATTATAGTAAGCATTACGCGAAATTACGTGCTAATTACGTGTACGAAAGAAAGTCTAGTTTTGCGTAATTAAGGTGAAATTACGAAATACAAAACCATTCCGTTATGTAAAGTACAAATTAATTCTCCGAAATGAATATATAGCGGGAAAGTATGTGAAAGGTGAATTTTCGTGAATTAAAGTCGCGAAATATTTATAAAACTATATAATTTTATTTTGAATGATCAAAAACAAACTAGAAATAGTAAAAATCACCGCAAAAATATTTTCCCATGCATGATACCCATTACAATAACACTTATTGTTTTTTTCAATTTTACTCATTTTTTTAATAATAGGTTGATAAGTTACTTTATCACCCAACAATGAGAAATATTAGATGCTAAATATGAAATCTTAATAGTAGGGTGATAAAGTTACTTTTTCGTCCTGTTGAAGGGCAATAAAGTCACTTTATCGCCCAACAGCGGCCAATATTGGGTGTGACAAATTCCCTAAAAATTGAATAAAAATTATAAAATCCCAAAAATATTTTACAATAAATATAATCATTCTCACAAAAAATATATATAATTGTAAACAAAAGCGATTTAATTTTTAGTTAAACATGGTGATATATTTATAATTTATTTACATATATTTCGTAAAAATCAAGGCTGAACATTATACAATGTAAGATTTAACATAATAATAAAGATCTGATTAATATCAATAACTAACTGCATAAAGTTCAAAATGGCCTAAAAACATGCAAACACACTTGTTCCACTGCTCTACTTTATAGATTTAAGATTAATATTTAATCTTTTATTATTCAGGAGAATACTTGGCTCAATTAATTTGATCATCTGCAATCTTAACCAAAACCAATGAGTTTCAAGAAGAGTAAATATGAATATCCATGTTCTCGATGTGACTGTGTTGCATCTCAAGCAGGTAACCTGAAGATTCATATTGAATGTAAACACTAAGAATTGAAATATCCTTGTTCTGAATGTGAATTTTTTTGAAACTACAGCAGAAATCTGAGAAGACATGTTAAAAATAAACACAAAGGAATGAGCTATCCATGCTCCATGCTCCAATGTAAGCATGCTGCAACTAGTGCAAGTGATCTAAAAA